GCAGGTTTTGGTGGATTTGATCAGCCAGGCAGTGCAGAGTGTGTGTGAGGGGCGGTTGTTTCTCATGAATGCACCTTCATCCTTTCTTCCTATCTGCAGCTGCGCTCCCTAGTATCCAGCGTTGCTAAGGAAGCCCCTCTCAAAGAGCGGCTGTCATCCAGTCTGGCAAGTTGCCAGACACCACTCAGGTTTACAAATACATATATATACGTTTAGGGAGCTTTCGAAACACAGAGAATGAGGACGCAATCGTTTGTAAATGTTAATGTTCACTCAGTACTGAGAGTTTTTTAAAGCCAGGGCCACAGTTTATCAGATCACGGGGGTTTGCTCGGATGCCGTTGTTTTCTTTATGTCATAACTTTCTCCTCTCGTCTTCAGGTAATCTGCTGCAGGACCCGATCGCTCCCACAGACTCGTCGTGTCAGCATTACGTCTGTCGAGGCTGCAGGGGCCAGAGGATGCAGCTGAAGCCGTCCTGTAGTTGGTGTAAGGACTATTCCCGCTTCGAGGAAAACAGGCAGCTCTCCTTGCTCGTCCACTGTTACAGAAAGCTCTGTCTCTACATCACCCAGTCGCCGCTCGCCCCGCACATAGCCAGCGCCGCCAGCGACTCGCCGGACCTCCAAGCCATCCTGAACGAGGGCCTCACGTTGGCCGAGAGCGAGCCAGAGGCGGAGGACGTTTCGGACTCAGCCGGCCTGTCGCAGAAGGCCTCCACCTCCGAGTCGCTCCAGCCCGGCGAACCCGCGAAGGAGCTCAAGGGGGAGGAGCCGAACCGCGTCAGTGTAAACGGGCTGCACGGTTGTAACGGCCTGGTCAGTTCGGACGCTCTGCAACCCACCTCCGTCCAAACAGGTGGAGGTGTTGCGAAGCAGGAGAGCTTTTCGGAGGAGATCCCGGTGTGTGTGAGCGTCACGGGGGCCGGGGAGGCGGGGCTTTGTGACATAACCCCTTTCGGGGATGACCTGAAACACGGCGGGGGGCCGTTGTTGTTGAGTGTCGAGGAGGTGCTCAGGACTCTGGAGACGGACACGGACCCTGAGCCCCAGCCGGACTGCCCCACCTCTGTACCTCAGTCCAGCCTCAACGGACCTCACTGCCCTTCTGGCCCCGACTCCTCCCACCTCATCCCTTCTCTCCCCACGGAAAACAGCCCTCGCCCCCTCCACCTTCACCCACAGCCCTCGCTGCGCCACCCCCCTCAGCCCTCCGCAGCCGTCCCCCACGCCCCCCCTCGGTACCACCGCAAGCGCTCCCGCTCAGAAAGTGACAGCGAGAAAGTGCAGCCCCTCCCCATCTCCAGCCTCCTGCGGGGGCCTCCCCTCGGTGCCAACAGCTCCCCCCATCACCCTAACCCTGGTGCCACCACCAAACAGGAGCCTAAGTTCCCCGCAGCGACGCCCCACCCGCACCTGGCCCCGGTGCCCAACGGCGGTCCCCCCAAGGTGGGCAAGACTGTGCTCGTCTCCAACAAGGTGCTCAAAAAGACTGTGGAGCACCACGGGGGCCCCAAGAAGGCTTACACCAAGGCCAGGCAAGGGGCCCCCAAGCCTCGCGCACAACCCCGTGACAGGATACCCCCGCACCCACATGCGCACCCCCTGACACACCCACCCAGCCCCTCGAAGCCACTGTATAAGAAGCCTGTGGAGAAGAAGGGCTGCAAGTGCGGCCGAGCCACACAGAACCCCTCGGTGTTGACCTGTAGGGGGCAGCGCTGCCCCTGCTACTCCAACCGCAAGGTGAGAACAACCCAGGGGCCCCCACCCCACAGTCTGCTATGTCACCCAGTGTTGACAAAGTGATTTTCCTCCTGGGGGCCCGTTACATTTACGGGATTCCTTGTGTTTGAGCTTTACGACTTGTTTGTCTCTGTGGGAGTCGCACACGGGGGGTTCATTTATTGAAATGTTGTTGACACAGAGCTTTGACTATAAGGGAAGTTAATAATCTATAGAAGCGGTTCTCAGACTTCTTTAAACCACAGCACCTTTTCATAACGATGTTCTTTTCACGTTACGCGTACGTACTCAACCCTTTCAGCTGAAAATGACACCATGAATATCTTTTATAAGATAATAAACCTACAAAACTAATAAAACTGAAGTAACATCTCTGAAGTAAGAGCAAAATGTAGACGTATTATTCAGAAATACCATTTTTACTGACTGACTTGCCAATAAAACGAGTACATAGTTGGTTAAAAGTTTTTTTCACATAGTAGAAAATCACTGCTCTGTAGCCTGGTTGATTATTAACTGTTCCTTTTATTGTGAAACAGTCTCTTTCTGCTACGGGGCAGTCTTTGGATGATCTGTTGTGGTGTTTGTCATTATTTATTAGATCGCGTTGTCATTAATTACGGTTGTTTTTCTCAGGCGTGTCTGGACTGTATCTGCCGCGGCTGCCAGAACTCCTACATGGCCAACGGAGAGAAGAAGCTGGAGGCCTTCGCCGTGCCAGAGAAAGCTCTGGAACAGACTCGCCTCACGCTGGGCATCAACCTCACCAGTATCACCGCGGCGGCCCTCCGTAGCCCGGCCTCCAGCTCCCCCGGCAGCACCCTTCTCAACGTCACCACGGCCACAGGGGCCCCCGTCACGGCCGCCTTCTTGTCGGGAGCGGGACACGACAACCGGGGCTTTGACGATTCACTGGAGATGCGATTTGACTGCTGAGGTCCAGCTCCTCCTCCTCCTCCTCCGGTCAGTCGTTACGCACATTCCCCGTCCCGCCAGCTGGGCGTTATCCATCTGGGCGTGCCAGGGACCTGCGGTGGCGGAGCCGAAACAAGGCAGCTACAGTGACAGGCGATAGTGAGGGTGACCAGCTGAAGCTTCGCCCGAAACTGCACCGTGCTCGTGGTCTTGCATACAGAGACAGTGAGGACGAGAAAGAGGAGATGTAGCGTCACTGTATGTGCCGAGATTTCATTTCAGTGCGGATAGAGTTCCTTATTTTTTTTCTTCTTCTCTGCTAGGGGTAACGTGTAGAGCATGTTGTGTAGCCAAGTTGGGAGCGTTGACCGCGGTCGAACGCCTCGGCGTGTGTGCGCGTGTTTGTGTGTGTGTGTGTGAGGGGAAGAACCTTTTTATCAGCAGGAACGGAGACGACATCATCATCATCACCACCACCGACATCAGAGACTGGTGTAATTTATATAAAAAGAGAGAACTTTTTGTACATGGACGTACCAGTTTCCATTTAAGAAGACATTTTATGATATATTTTATAATTAAAACAAACAAACAGTGGAAGTGGGTGCAGAGAGACACCTGCATTCAACCAGAATATTTTCACACAGGTAGATTGTATTTTGTAAACTCTTGCTAGAGCACTAGGAGTAAGACTTGGGACTGAGTAGATGACTATCAAAGATCCCCTGGAGGAATAGAGAAACAGCCTGAACGTAACTGCTATCAGTTTTAAAAACATTTCCAAAAAATGCAATGGTTGATGCCTTTTGCTGCGAGAACTGGGATGTGAATTTAACGCCACCAGCCAAATGTATGTTTCATATTTTGTCTGTTGAATGTTTATACTCTGTGAGCCACTGTCAGACACCCAACATTATTCTAAGATGTTATTATACATATATACATACATATATATATATATATTAAAAAGAACAGATATAAAATGGTGAATTTTGAAGTCAACCAACCGTTGTGGCTGGTGGGAGATAAAACTTTTATCCCTAGTTTGCTGTTGCGTCGAGGATGCGAGTTCACCTGTTCAATCATTTGTGAGTTCTTGTATTAAGCACTTTTTCCACACATGTTTAAAAACACCTTTTTTTGTGTGTGTGTGTGTTACTTGTGTTAAAAACTCTGGTTGACTGCAGGCCCACCCCCTCCCCACACATTGTTTATTCACATGTTTTTGGTTTCTGGAAGCTACACACATGCTGCTAAACACCACAAAGAACTCTTTAAAGGAGAGCGCACCTGTTTTTCTTTTGGTTTTTAATAAGTCGCATTAACAACATCTGCAGTATTTATTTGACGCCTCTTAGTAAAATGTTACACGTTGGGCGTCAGTTCTGCCTGTCGAGGCTGTCGACCCCGTCTTGGACTTTTTCTGTCTCGGTTAAGTTGCTGTCTCACTTCTTTAACTTTTTTGTTTCTGGTGTCTCCAAACGGTTCTCGTTCTCCCCCGGGGCATTTAAATACCTGTAATATAACTGTAACATATTTCCACAAAAAAGAAAGAAAATCAAAAACTTACAAAGCGTTGTGTGATTATTTTTGTCCCTCTGAAGCCCTCCTTTGTTTTTCCTGAGGAGCCTGAAGGTGTTGCTGCACTGCAGCAGGTCGGCACGGAGCTTCATTTGCAGGATTGAATAAGCACCAGCAGGGGGCAGAAACAGCCCTGTAAATGTCCAGTAACCTTCAACAAACGATGATGAGGAGGAAGAATCTTAGGACATACTAAAATTTTGATTTAATTTAACGTCAAAGCTTTGCAGACCCAGAATGAATCGATCTACATCAAATGAAAGATTATTTCCACCTCATTTTTGTGCTGTGATTTAAAAAAAGCTAAGCTGTTACAGACAGGACTCCTCACTGCAGCACACTTAAACCTAAAAGAAAAACGTTGCACAGCTCTTCCCCAGTACACTGTGCTTTATTCACCAGCGTCTACCAGCTGTGTGGCCTTCGTCCTCGTGTCTGAAGTTGTCTCTGGTTTTCCTTTTATTAATCGTTTTTACAAAATAAAACATTACTTCCAGTGGACACAGAAATGTGCGAGAGAAATATAAACATTAATACTGTAAATACAAATACCATATTACAACTAACTTGTCAATAAATTCCAGTATCCACAAGCAGTAACACTGGACTTTTTAAAAGATGAAGGTAACGTTTTGTATGCTTTAGATTGATGGTGACTGATCAAGTTGAATATAAGACAACTGGAAACAACTTGATAACCTGAAGAATTCAGTATGTTTGCAGCACTTCTATCAAACGCTACCAAAGGTGTGCGATGAGTCCCTTTTACAGTGTCTTTATTTCACATATTTACAGACAAAAAAAATCACTTGAGTTATTTACATTCACATTTAGCTTTGGTCTATCTGGTAAACAGTTCAAAATTTTGTTTGTCTACAAGCTGATTAGTGTGGGTTTTATTTTTTTACGAGGGTCCAGCTGACAAAGACGACTTGACTGCAGGCGGATGTCTCCCGTTATTCCACACGGAGGCCGAAGGTAAAGCTACTGACACCAGCGTCTCAGCAGGATCTGATCACATGTGACAGGGGAAACTTCCCCCTTCACAATCAGTCAACTCAAAACTATAAATGTTATGTCCGTACATTCTCATCACTATCCATTTAACATCATGTTTTGGTTCTGGAGCATACATTTCCCACAGTAATCTTTGTGGAAGGCGACACTTTAAAACATTTAAAGAAACTATACATTTGTAGCAAAAATAATAAGAGTGTTGTGCAACAGAGAAAAAGCTGCATTCACGTCACATTGTAAAAAATTAACAATGATGTTTACTTAACTGGAGCTCATGACTGCAGACATCTTTTTTCTTTTCTCAAAAAGAAGTTGGACGAATCAGTGAATTTAACTGAGGATTCATTCTTGACCTTGGAAATAATAGTTTGAAGCTTTCAGCCGCATATCACGGCCACTTGTGTTCGCTCAGTTGTCATCATGTGAACTAAATATTTAGTATTTGGGTTCTGGTATCGTAGCTCCGTGAGCTGATGAAGGTCATAATATGTGGCTCTAAGTCCCAGGAGAATTTGAGTAAGTAGACCTTAAATTAAAATTTAATATTTTTGTCAAATTACTATTTCCTAAATCACGAATGAGCCTTCAAGCTTAATCAGTTATATTCCCTGATTCATCCAGTTCTCCTTCAGTGAAATAAAACAGATCATTGTGGTTTATATTTCCTTGAGCATCAGTGTCACATGGACGACAAAAAAACAATCCCACGTTTCAGCTTGTTTGGATGCTGGTTGTTTTCCACGTCTGCATGTCACATCTGCAGTCAATCCAACATGACCTGAATGCCCAAGAATACCAGGCGTCAGGGAGCGTTTTCTGCATCGCTTGGAGAGCAATTACGACGGACAAACCAACACGCTGGAAGAACGACAGCAGAAAAGGGAGACTGTGGCGCTGCTGCCAACAAAAACACAGCACAGAGGCTGATATGTAAGGAGCACCGTGTTAACATTTGCTGCAAAGCTCATGGAGGAAGAGGGGATGATGTTGGGCAACCACTCTGTCTGAAAGGCCTGTCATGGCTGCAGGCAAATTATTTCAGATGTTCGTGCTTCCACCCTCATGTTCGACATCTCACTGAGAGAAAACAGTTCACAGAGCTGCAGACCCAGAACTTGCAGGCTTATCAGAACAATAAAAACAAACTATAGCACAATATTTACATCTTTACACACATCCAGAGACTCAGCTAACATGTACATGTGTGGACTCAGATAATCACTAATGTTCAGCCGACAAGAGTTTTATACAAACAAGAGTCCAGTTTTTCAAAAAAACAATGAAACATCAGGCGTTTGCTATAAAATGAATAACATGGAAAGAGAGTAATGTAGGTAAATTATCCAGAGGTCTAAACTCCTAAAACTTTCTTTTGCTATAGGTGGCGCAGCTCGGCATGTGTGTAGGTCTTAACATGAATTAATGTGATGCATACTGGTTAGAATTTGTCACCATGCCACAAGACATTTAAACCTCGCGGGAGCAACGCGGCTGCAGTTTTCTGAGTCCTGCGATCTCGCGGCATTTCAGCGATTGTTCTAAGCTCACGCGCTCTACGGGAAGCAGAATGTGTTCGACTTGACGGCAGGGTTTTTATACCACGTCCCTGCAGTCGCCGGCAGCTCACGTTTGACTATCAAGTCAGCGAAACTGAGCCGCAGTCATCTTGAACGCACCTGATGTCTGAGCTCACGATGAGCAAACAGCTCCGCCTTGTGGAGAATGTGTAGGCTGCTAAGTGTGAGTTGTGCCCTCCCCAAATGAGTTCACACAATGCTGATTAAGCGCATCACTGACAGATTAATCTCTCTGACTTCTGGTGGCGAACGTTCCCACGCTGGCAAAACAGTAGAGATGTGTTTAATGCCAACCAGCAATGAAGAGCTGAAGAGTGGAGCACCGTAGCGAGAGCAGCAACTCAGTTTGGCCGAGCCTTTATATCACGCGCAAGTGTTTTGTGTAATTACTCTCACTGTCAGAAGGGGGAGACAAAACTTCTGCACTGCAGGTTTAAATTTACCTTAAAAAGTACTTCTGCCTTAAAGAAATGTTTGCACAACAGAAAATGTCATCTCTGTCAACTTTAACACGCTCAAATATAAATGTGAGTCTGATTAACTCTCACACGTATCAGTCTCTTGTCCACCCACGAAACCAGAAAAAAAGAAAGACAGACTTCCCGCGAGGCTCGCTGTTGCAGTTTTTCATTTTCTGTTAATCAAGAAGTCCAGAGGCTGATTTGATGTTTTACCAGACAGTTCATCACAAACATTTTAAAAAATCACGACGGCGTCTGTAGATCTGGTTTATTTGCCCAAATCAACCCGCGATCCCGAGTCCTGCGTCTGATTGTCTAGCTGATGAGAAACGCGCCGAAGAAACTGCTTTTCTCGTCCATGTCCACAGCAGAGGCGTTGGTCACGGTGACAAACAGGCGGTCGCCGCTGCTGAGCGGGAACAGCCCCCCCTGGTGGGCGGAGTGCAGAGAAAACTGAGAGCCCCGGGACCAGCAGGAGGTTCGGCTCGTCTTCATCAGCAGGATGGGAACCGGGTAGGAGCTCACCTGGCGGGAGAGGGAGATGTGAGTGAGAGTGCCGCGTTGGTAGGTCAGCTATCAGGCAGCTCCACCTACAAATATCGGCCATGCACCACCTCCCACACATTCAAAAAAGATTGGTAATGCTGCTGGATCACTAGCTGGAATCACAGACAGTTCAGGAAAAGACTCAGGTGTGATGGAGGCCGACAAGATACATGAACACATCAAATGCCAACACCCAATCTGAAGGAAACTTCCTGTCTGGAGATATTTATCCTTCCTACACCTACAGGGATTCACTAAGTGTCCAAATAATCCGAGACACACTGTGAGTCCTTCAAGGCACATGCAACACTTTCTACACAGAGCCAGTCAGTCTGTCTGTAATGAAACAAAGTAAAGATAATCTCGACCTTGGGCTAACAAAAGTACAACAGTGCATCATTAACAGCTGTGTCAGTCAGTCAACAAGCGGGCAGAGAGGAGAGACAGCGTCTGCCACGACCTGGGGAACCTGTGTCATAGTACCTTTAAATTATTCCTTCACAATGTAGATATCGTCTTCAGGGCTTTGTTCAAAGTTTGTTTTTGATAAAACGTTCTTGGCAAATGCTTTCGCTTTCCTCTATCTTGCAGCAGAACAGAAATGCCCTCCTTACATCTCCTTCTTAATCATGAGCCCGGTTCAGTAAAAGAAGCGTAAAATAGAGCCGGAGTCCGTGTGCTCCGTGGGTCCTGATCTGAAATAGTGAGGGTGCGATTTTATTTGTCCCTGGAAATCCCTTTTCTAATACAAGAAGCGTTAAAATCACACAACACAAACAGTCAAAATCAGAGATGAATCATGAGGACATGACGCCAACTCTCACCTTTTTATAGACGTACTGCAGCAGGGGTCTCCCTCTGTCCTCCGCCTCCTCGCCCTCCTCGCCCTCCTCCTCCAGGGAGTGGGTGTGTCTGAAGTAGGTCTGCGCGTAGACGTAGTAGAGGCCGGGCTGCGGCACCACCAGCTCCCCATCCACCAGCTGGACGTCCTGGAGGAAGGCCAGCCCCTTCTGCCCCTCCCACCACGAAATCTTCTGGCCTTGAACTCGCCGCCCAGCGGAGACCGGAGCTGCGGAAAACAAACACATTCAGAATAAAATCACAACCTAGAAGGTGAGGATCTGTTATAAAAGCACATTTCTACCAAGAAAATGCAAAGAGCAAGTCAAATTTGAGACTTTTTAGGTAAAATTATGTTATTATTATTATTATTATGAGATACTAAGGTGTTAAACATGTCACTTTGACTTAATGTGCCATTAGTATTTTTATATTTCATCATCCCTAAAACTCTGTTTTTCTCTTTCCTGTTGGAAATGGGCTCCTAGATTTACACTTTGCAAAGAAACTTTTACAGTAAAACGCATGTCTTTTATTGCAAAGCTGCACTCAGCATTTCAGTTTGAGCTAAGAAAACAGAACAGTTACTTTTATTTAGATGCAAAGTTTCTGTTTCTTACTTAAGAGTCTGACTGAATTAAAATAGCTGAAGTAAAACTGTCCTCTGGTGCAGGTTGACTCAATTTCCAAAGATATGCTGGTCTATGCCCATGGATGACACCCTAAACCAAAGCAAATGCCTATTTAATCTTGTCTGACCGCAATAAGCAAATTGAAATTCCTGCCGATCATCAAATGAAAAGGTCATAAATTCATTTTACACAGCTCAGATTTTCTTGTTAAATTCAAACACCATTGCATGCAGTTCATTTTTGCAGCACTCACCTCCTCCCTCTTGGCCCAGTTTGGGCGCATAGCTGCCAGTGACGTGGGCTGCGACTTTGGGGCGAGGTGAAGCTGCGTCCACCATCACAAGAGAGGGCAACACTCGCGATACTTCATCTAACACGGAAAAAAAAGGAATGAAATAACCGACTAAACTAAACCCCAATCGAGTCCCTGTTCCTATAAGATGCTGAAACTACGTGATACTCCCGAACCGGTACCAGGTTTATCTAAAAATATATTTATGTTATGTGTTAAGTTATGTGGTTTAGTTTTCTCACCTCTGACTGCCGATGAAATCTGCCTCTGGTAACGCTGAGACAGAGACTGCGGGACAAACAGTAGAAAACATTCATTAAAGAATGCATGAAGGTGTTTTTGATGCATTACAAGCAACAGTGGCATCATGACACCTTAATAAGGACACATTAAAATCAGGTTTGTCCCTCGTCTCACAGTGTCTTCCAACTCCTGCCACCAGGGAGAAGAAGCATCTGTTCAAGAACTACACACTGATTTTTTCCCAGTGATAGTTATTTATTTATATATTAATTTATACATTGATTGCACTCAAAGTATTTTAACTTGCCAGGTGGGTTTGAATGCGAAATGATATTTTGTTTTTATGTACCTTCATAAAAATGCCAAATAAAATGAATCTGAATCTGGAGTCGGCTCTCAAAGCGTGGCCTTGAGCCTTAAATCAAAAACATGATTCAAGACAGAAACTAAAGACTAATTTATAAATGGAATAAACATATAGCTGCCAAGAAGAGCCGTCAGCTCATTACACAGGTTTAACCATGTAATTCTGCTGACATCGGGATCAGGAAGTTTGCTCCGGATGAATAAAAAGGAGCCTTCATGTTCAGGTCGGTAACAGATCCCTTCCTGGAAATCAACCCCTCTGCCCTTCCTCGTGTTTTACGTTCCTTTAGCCAATGAACCGGCTCAAGAAAATGCAACTACTGCAAAACGGATGAACTGTTATCTGAGTTGTAGTGGAATCTGGACATGTTAACAGAAACATTACAGAAACTGGTGAAACGAAAGCACAAGAGGGGGGGAAATGATATTATAAAGTATAAAATAATATAATAATAATTATAATAAATAACATGTGTAGAAGGAGAAACGTTCCACCAGTGTTGTTGAAGTTCCTACTGAGTGCCAGTAGAGGTTGCAAAAGTTAATGATTTCCCTTCTATAAATATTTTTACAGCTTCGGCAATAACTTGAGAGGAAGGTGAAAGAAAATAAACCATTTATAAGCTAAATTTACCAGCAGTCAGTCAGTGCGAACCAGAATTTCTGCGTCAAAGATCCCTCTAATGGCTCTGAGGCAGCAATTTACTTTTGAAGTCTTGAAGCAAGGTTTCATTTTGAGCGGTGGAACTCAGGATGAAGTTCAAAGCAAGAACCGTGAAATTGCAAGCACAAGATGCTCAACAAGGAGGACGGGCTTCAACATGCACAAGCTCAAACAATGTGAGACGCATCAAATTCAAGATACAACACGGACTCAGCTGTTCTAAAATAAAGAAATCTGTCTGGATGTTTCTGATAGATGCCGGCCCTCAGAAGCAACTTTAAATAATTTTTCATGTGTACTAAGTTTCAGCCCTGTTGGTGAATGCTTTTTAAAGTCATTACTGCTAATTATACCCCTGCTGTCCCAACCACCAACCCTGTGGCTGGGCGATTTAATTAACACCTTATGTCTAGAGGTGATTCGATTAAAATGTCTCAACAAATACCGAATGGATTTCCATAAGGTTTTATTTACACATTCACGTGACCCTCAGGATGAATTGTAATCACTTTGGTGAAATCAGATGGTGAACATGGTAAACATTACACCTGCTAAACGTAAACATGTTAGAATTGTGGATGTGGCTGAAGTCCTCAATTCGTCCTCACTCCCCCATGTGAAACAGTTTAATGTCTATGACTTGTGACTTTTTGTGAGTAATATAAAGTGAACAACAACTTAATCTCCTTACACAACCCGGTGTTGTAAAATGATAAATCAACCTACCTTGCGCCTTAAATGTTCACTCACTCTGCATCTTGAGTTAGTAAACTCTCAAGCCGATGTTCTGCCTCAAACTGTCCCAGCATTATGTTTATGTTCTGAACTAAATTTAATCAAGCAGCTGAGTCAGAAAATACCAGGGTTGTGTTATTTTAGAGAGCAGCAAAGTCCAAGAAGGAGTATCAGGAGAAGGGGAACAAAAACAAACAATATGCACAAATACCAAGTAAAGGAAGGAAAACTTTGGTGTGTGTGTGTGTGTGTGTGTGTGTGTGTGTGTGTGTGTGTGTGTGTGTGTGTGTGTGTGTGTGTGTGTGTGCGAGAGCAGAGCAGGTGAATGCATTCCTGCGCTGATTAAACCACACAGGATCACATCACATCTCCAGCCATGAAGGAGCTCATTGTGCATCTGCAGACAGTGATGTGGATCATTTCAGCTTTTTTTCTTCTGCTGCTAATGTTCAGATCTGAGATCAGCGGCACCGGAAGTCCCCTAATACTGATAATACCTTCTCAACATTGTACTTACAAGGACCTAATGTGCTTACAAGTTTAAACTTTTAGTTTAAAGAGCAAAGTTGGCATATTTATATTTTTTCATTATTGTCAACGATTCCCATATAAAGGTTAAAACCATCAGTCCGTCTCTCAGTGCTTTCTCACTTCCGGTCTGTGGCTCTCAGCTCCAAGACCATCGGTTCCTACTGAAGGTGTAAATCTTTAAGAACAGCTCTCAAACACATAGTTTCATGTTTAAAAAACGGCTGCTGCACTCCAATCAATCAAACAGGAGGAAGTTGTTTTTAAGTCATTTTCACTTGAATAGTTGCAGATTAATTTCCTGTCAATCGACTAATAGATTAATAAACTAATTGTTTCAGCTCTAAATGGGTCAAAACTCTACTTTACTGTACTCCTGACTGAAAATTTGTCATACTGGCCGGATAGATGTCTTGAAAGTTCGAGTCTGTGAAATCAGAGATGTCTCCAGAACAGCATCAAGTGTTACTTAACAAGATGCTGAGTTCTTTGGTTTTACTCGTGTCACTGTGAGGAAACTCAACTCAAATCAGTGCCAAACTCCCAGGTGTAAAAATTAGAACACAACTGTATATTTTTATTCCTGTATTGTTTTTGAACCCTTTGTCTTTTCTTTTAAAAAGTCTCCTGGTACAACAGACACTATATACTAAACAATCTGGTGCTTGGGCATAATTGTATGCTGCAGTTGCAATGCTATTGCTATGGCCGTGTCAAATAAAATAAACTTATCAGACCCTGGAATAATAACAATAATAATAATAGAGCTGCTTTATCATTTGCTTTGATGACCTTTGCAGCTGAAGTGTGGTGGGACGAGTAATGGCTCCAAACTCCAGTGGGTGGGGAGTTTCTGATCCAGAGCAGACCAGAGAAAAAAACTGAGCTTTGAAAGCCAGAAATCTCAGCAGCTGGCTAAATAATCGCTGAGTCATTAATACTGATATGTAAAGGTCATCGTGTGCTGTGAAGTCATACTTCGTGCAGCTTGAAAGTGATGAATATGATCATGTTTAGATGTAAGAGTTTAGAGATTTTTGCTCTGGAAGAGTAGCGGCCAGTGTTTGGGGTTACTGCAGGATCACCATACCTTCTCAATGAGCAGGTGAAGCTGCTGCGTGACCTGCCAGCATGGATCCCCCCGTACAGCCGTGATGCTCTGCAGGTCAGCGCCCGTCAGGCAGGAAACGCTGCTCCGTGCAAACGTCTCCTTCATCTGCACAGAGTGAAGAAGAGCATCAAACAATTAGATCGAACGTGTCTTTTAACTTTTTTTTGTCAGCAATCTAAACTTTGCAGAATTTGACCAGATTTAAACTTTCAGACATATGTTTGTGGCATAATAAGATGAATATATATATTTGTTTTGGAGAAAGACAAGACATAATTGACCATTTATGTTCTCACAATCATAGTCTTACATTTTCTCCTGAGTCAACATAATTCCCTGGCATGTGTCTGTTCAGGTTTCATTTCCCTTACAGTACACTGCTGCTGCATCTAATCTGAGTTAATGATGATTAACTCCTGTAAACACAGACTGAGAGTTGAGCTGGACTGAATCCAGGAAACGAAAGGACTTCACCAAAACAAGCAGAGTGAGTCCAGCACACACACACACACACACACACTCTTAAAAACTCTTCCTGATAATCACAGCTAATCATAAAAATAGGTGTTGTCCACCTCTGCAGAGCGCTGTACTTCCTTATACTCTTTTTCTGTTTGCATAATCAGAGAAAATGTGCAACATTGCATGAAGCTACATTGTGCAGAACTTAACTATTAAAAGTGTAAGCAGTTTGTGTGGTTTGCATTGCATTGTGAAAAAAAAAAAAGAGAGAAGAAAATTAGACGTGTCCTGGACTGTTTGTGCAACAGCAGAACCAGAGCGCATGAGTTCAAAGCGTTTCCCCAACATCTGTCAACAACACGTTAAATCACTTCAGTTTATAGACATTACAGAGAAGTGTTTGAGGTCAACAAAGAATCTAGTTTTCTTATAGCTGCGTTCAAAAGCCGAACCACTTCGCGCCCGCGCCGCGCTGCGCGCTGCATGGCGATGCGTAAAAGCCTCCGCGCGTCTCTGGTCCGTCAATCCGAACCCAAACTTTTTCCTTACCGAATTGAGAGCCGTGGAGAAGTGCAGCACGGTGATGGTGACGACCACAGTCTGCAGGAGAACAGCCAACAGCAGCAGCACCCCGAGCTTCGGACCGGAGCCCGTCATAACGACAGACCTGCCGTCCGGTACCCGACCAACGTCGTCCCGTCCCGTTCCTAGACTTCCAGAACAAGAACAATGGCAGAGCGCTGCCTCCTTGACTTCTACCCCCCGTCCCCTGCAAGCAGGAGGAGGAGGAGGAGGAGGAGGAGGCGGGACCGGCCTGCAGAACAAGAGCTTTCTCCCCCTTTGCATTTCTCCTGGAGAGATATTGTTTCATTTCTGCGCTGGAAAAACACTGATTGCCTCCTAGTTTATTGTGAACGCTCATATCTCTAATGTGGATCTCAGTGCTGAGCTGTGCTCTGATAAAAACTACATTTAACCTCAGAATATGGTCAGAGATAATGCTTTTTAAACATGCACGGAGTGGCACGGCAGCTGAATTTTGGCACGTACATGATTTTTATTACGATGTTATAGTTTAAACTCAACCAAACTACAGTTTAAATCCCTATTACATGAATTGTTGCATTACTGAAGAGCAGCACACTGATTAGGGCTCTATAACCAAGGGGTCTTTTCAGGGGAAAGTCATAAATTAAGCTCTTCTTCAAAGGCTTTGGCCTACCTGACTTATTTCCCACTGTATGTTGACTCAGACCACGTGTAGTCAAGATGTCAGGTTGTTAAAATAAAAAGCTTAACCAAGGTTCCTACATTTCTTTCCACTGTTTTAGCTCCAGATCTCTCCACATTTGATCTCACCTCAAACTGAGCATCAATCAAGTTTCTTTTATGAGGTGAGGTGGGCAAAGAAGGAGGTTTTTAAGGACACACGTGGGTAAACAGTGAAAAATATAATCATGTTCATATCAGTAGGTGTGAATCCTGTCTAGCAATATATTTTCTCTCTTTTGGCAGATATCTGGAAAGAAGATGGGAGATTCTTGGAAGCTGACGGGCTTGTGGTCTTTATCAGGTTGCGTAACTAAAAACACGATTATTTTTTCACTCAGCGCTGTTGCCGCCCTGTTGAAGGATGAAGTACGTAGGAAAGAAACTGCAGGTTAGATGATGAGGTCAGTGTGAAAGACACAATTTTCCACGTTGTCTCACAACGCTCACCTTTAACTGTCAAAACAAGGTGGGACGGTTCAACTTCAGTGTCAGTGAGTGGTCAGAAAACTCCATCTAAACAAACCTGACATGTATGGAAATGAAGTTTGGTAAATTAACTTGCAGCCCCTTGATTGTAAATCATCACAAAGAGTTTCATGTGATCAGTTTGATGAAATTACTTAATTTCTGCTGGTTATTTCATCACTAAACAGTCTTTCAACTGACTCTTCCTGCTACATCATGTGTTAGAGGTCGATCGGGTATTTCAGTGGCCGATACCGATATTTATAGAGAAGGGCGGCCGAAATACAATGCCGATATCAAAATAAAGAAATGTCAGTTCCATTATTCCAGGCAGAGGACAATCTAATACACGTTATCTCAGCCAGTAATGTGATGTTTTAGATGAAGTTTTATTAATTAATGGGTTATGCTTTAGATTGAAGTGACTTGTGTTTAAGGGAGAGCGGCGTACAGTTTGTCAGAAGTGACTTCATTCAGCTGCATTGTTTTTTACAGTTTCCAACTTTTCTGCAAATTTGTCCTATCATCGCCGTTTCCCGCATACGTCAGAAGACTCACTTCCTTGTTCAGAAGATGCAGCTGACGTGTAATAGCAACATCTCACATTTGCAGAGAAAAAGCTCAAATAAAAAGGACTGTGAAAAACCAGGACCCAGATCTTTCTTACCAAAGCGATGGTAAAATGTTTTGCAAAACGTACAGTATTGTGGTCGAACATAAGAAAGGAAATCATCTACTAACAAACGCATGGACGACGTCAGACGAGACAAATCACTGTGACACCGGCTGTTGCGCTGAAAGAATCAAGGTAAGCTGGTTTAAATATGCAGGTTTAGGGTTAGGCCTCCTGGAGGGACTGGTTAAAGGAGACCTACTGCCCTGTACTGTAGTTCTGTGTCTCCTCTATGGCGGCTTTGCATGATTCAAAGTAAAAAAAAGAGAGCCAGGACGAATGAAACACAGCGATTTTCTCAGAGCCCATACAAGTCTGATGCGCCAAACTACCTCAGCACATACAGTCCACAGTACTTAACAGAACCGTGAAAAATCAGGTGGATACGTCACACTTTCACAGAGTTATACGAAAGATGTTTTCAATCATAGAGAGTAAATTCACTCAAGTGATGTTTGTTTTTTGAATGACGAGTTGTGTTTATTGTTTCATGTGTTTAATGATCATGATCACATGAAAGATTAGTTAGTACTTTAAGTTTTAAATGTCAAAGTTTTACAGTTTGAAGTTTAAACGTCAGGAGTCACAGTAGCTATTCTACCGCCTCACAGCTAGAAGGTTGCAGGTTCAAACCCCCTTTCTGTGTTTGCATGGGTTCTCTCCCTGTACGCAGGATAAGCGGTTGACGATGGATCGATTGACGCTCCACTAGGCTGCATGCTAGACCACCAGGATACTTACTTACTATATTAGCTAGCTAAGGTATATTTATATCCGTCAGATGAAACAATGCGCACCTTTCGCACCAAAGTAAAATTGTACTGAAGTCGTTCCACATTTTAACAAGATAACACCTGGTATTGATAGAACACACGTGAGTTGTTGATGACAACAAGAAATGATTTCTGTCTGTCCCGGCTCTCCCCTACTATCTTATACTGGCACTTCATGCAGGCCCTCATTTCTGAAACAAGCTGTAGATGCTACTGTCTCTTTAAGCCCCCCCCCCACCACCAAAGCCCACTGTCTTGTGATTGGCTATTGTCTAATGTGTTTACCAGGTACAGGTGCAGGGATCGGGCTGCATGTTCCTTTTTGGGCGTGGCCAGCATTCTCTGACTGGAGCAAACGACCATATATGGAAATCCGTCTCAGAATGACATCATACCGAGCCGTTGTTCATTCAGAACAGAGGGACATCTGAGGTTTTGGCTCGCAGGGATTTCTTTTAAATACTTTTACCTCATTATTTGAAGCTTTGGCCAACATGAACATCTGACATTGTAACATTGTAGATATGCCAGAAAATATGAAAAAGCACAGTAAGTCCCCTTTAATGTTTCAACTATAACTCTAAATGTAAAACAATCGCATCTACCTTTGCAGTTTTCGTGCATCCCCACACTTTCATGGCAAAACAACCCAACTTTCATTGCAATTTTTTAGAAAAGCTGCTGCAAAATGAGGCGTTTTCCTGGAGGCACTGTACAGTATAACAATATCTATTTAATGCCAGCCAGTAATGGCAGCCACAGTGACATGGCTGCCTGCAGTCGAAACCCTATTGATTTTTTGTATATCGACTTCTTAAATGCAGGTATCAGCCGATGTCATTTACATCAAAATGCCAGATATTGGCCCGATTAATCGGCCAAACGAATATTCAGTCTATCACTGCATGATATTGTATTGATGTTACCATATAAAATTACATATATTTAAGTGATGTTTCTGTCCTGAAATATTTTTATTTTGGCGACTGCTTTGGTTTTAAATGGTCTCGCCAGAAGTCTCTATTCTCTCCACTAAGAAACTCTTTTAACTTAAAAACTCTTAAAATGTGACACCACAGTGAAATATGATGTCCAGTACATTTATTTTAGGGGAGGCAATATAAATAAATCATACAACTTTCTAGTTCAGGAGAGAAAGAGAAACACCTTCATCTCTCTTTTTATGCTGCAGCCAACAGCACTATTTTCAGCTAAAGACATAAACAATACTTCTGTTTAATTTTGTTGGTCTTGTTTTCTGTAGGCAGTTGTGCTGTTTTGCCTGTTCAGCCAAGGTAGCTTCAATCATAGTAATAATACTTACTAGTTCTTCTTTTTCTGTTTATTACAAACCAGAAATTTCAATGCACCACTTCCTGTGTACCAGAGGGGTTTTTCACAGGAAAAGACCTTTCTGACACTGATTGTTTGGAACAATAAACGTAGGACATTTGAAACCTGTATAGGGACTGCAGAATAAAGTAACACCGCACCTTAAACAGCATAAAAAATGTCTAAAAGATAGTAAACACTTCACATTAACGTCCTCATCCATAAAATGTTGACTTTTAAAACATTTCCAAAATACATCTTTTTTTTTTTTTATCCCTTTTAGACATTTTACCTCCCTGTTTTTTTGCTGCTCTCCAGTGTGTCTTAGAAACTGTCAACTTTGGAGAAGGAGCCTTGTTTTTAGACCTCTCAAGGCTTATGTCATCACAAAGATGGCACAATCAGACACAGACATTAAAAAATAACAATACTTGAATGAGACGGTTTCCCCCTGATGTTAAACGCCGCGTATATTCATGTTGCCAGCGTGGTATTATCAGCGTATTGTCGTGCAGTGAGGCGGGCTGAGCCTATAAGTGGATTCTGGTCCTGGTGCTCGTTCCTACATCTGCAACATCTGGCCTCAATCTTGCTCCTACGCCCCGCCATCCCCCGGGAGCCGCTCTCCGCTTAGGTTTCACTGTGCTCCACCGCTACGACTGCAAGGCCTGCTGGGGGTAACAGAGTCTGTAAACTGTGTGTGTGTGTGAGAGAGGACTGAAAACATTTGAGGGTCACGGCCATCCTCAGTACGAGCTGTAAAGAGACAAAAATATTTTTCTCTTACACTGACAGACTTGATTTTGTCACTTAAGAGGACTCGTCATTCACTTACATTAACACATAGGCGTACTCCCCGTAACGTGAACAGATTTCAGTACCCACATTGTGATTAATGCTGGCTCAGACGCACACTCTGAGTGTATTCCTGAACGGCGGCCAAGTTTTGATAGGATACGAGGAGGAGAACTGACCGGCTCCCCCGCAAAGTTGACTCCCTCCCTCCTCAATCGTCTTTCCAAACTTTGTCTTCCACTCCCCGCTGCCCTCATTCTCTCCCTCTCAAGCTCTCTTTGTGTCCGTCTGCCTCTTTCTTTGTCTTTTCTTTTGTCTGTTTTTCCGTCTTGCCTTTTCTCTTTCCATTCATCCCCCGTTCTTTCCCTCTGCTTCTCTCCTCTTTCTTCATCTCAAATTATAATTAGCCGCTTTGACTGTTAAGTAGTTACAGAACTGCAGACGACAATAGATTTTATGCACATTTTAAATTTGTGTATATAAAAAAGTTAGTAGTAAAGTAAAAAAAAACACGGGGAAAAGGAGGAAAAGTTGTGTTTATTGATAAAAGCAAAAGTGCATCATGCAATTAAAACAGCAAATGAATCCCGACATGTAAGGAAGCCTTTGGCGGACATTACTTCAAATATTTCTTTACACCGTTTCCCCGTGATAGTGGGATAATTTTTGTGTGATCTCGAGATAATGAAACAGTAGTTTAACTCAGGGGTTGACAGGAAAGTTTCTCAATTTCAGTGTTACATCCGGTGTCACTGGTTAGCTCGGCTTGTAGAGCACAGGACTTATGATTTTATGATCTTATGTGTTCGATTCTCACTGAGCATGAACTTTTTTATCTTGTTCATTATCCTCTTCAGCAAAGTTCTTATGAAGACACTGTTTCACATGCTCACAATAAAGCCCGTGCTGGACTGTGCCCATCACGCCGATTGGTCCACATCCATCAACCTATGGACTGTTCGTATTCCCATCACTCCCAGGAGGAAATTCCTGGGAATGATGGGAATCCATTTAACATTAAACATTTCCTGACAGCTATATCAAGAACCTTTGAAATGGCCATCAGGAAATGTGTGATTGGATTCCCCTGAAACTCTTCGTAGCAACTTTGCTGAAGAGGATAATAAAAAACAAAAAGTTGTCCAATCCATGGATTATGAGTCCTGGGCTCTACCAACTGAGCTAACCAGTGACACTGAAATTTGTTTTATTTTATCCTAAAGAAACACACCTACCGACCCCTGTTTGTAGCTATTGTTTGTTATCTCGAGATCATAAGATCATTATCTCGCTATCACGGGATACAGGCTTCTGTACAAGTGTATACTTGTGTTACTGATTTCATAACCTTGTGTGGAAGAGTGTTGGCAGCCAAGTAGGCTTCAAAATGATCCCTCTGACTCCGCGCCAATCAGTTGGACTGACAAGAACGCAATAAATCCAAATCATCACAATTAACGCAGATAAATGTGTGTATTTATCTGTGTGTTAATCATGTTTAGTCACATTATAGGGTCTCCACGAACCATTTCATGCTTAGTTTAAGACTTAGTTTTAGTTAGGGTTAGTTTAGGTTAATTAGCTTTGTTAAAATTGAAACATTATTCAAATAAACACACTGTAGTCATTACCTGTTAAAACAATAACTGTGAAAATGAGCATGCTCTAAATCTAAGTCTCTTTCTCTGAGGGGTTGCCAAGATAAACACCCTGCTAACACACACACACACACACACACACACACACACACACTCACACACTGTATTAATTTTATCCCTCCCATTAGAAAGAACACAGTACCCAGAGCTGAACAATATCACTGATATCTGGACCAAACACACACACACACACACACACACACACTCGAGAAGGGAGAGGTGGGTCATCTGAAGCGGCCAATGGGCACGCAGGAAATCTGAGAGAACCCGAACTTTTGGGGACTTTCCAAAGTTTCCAAATGTTTTTTTGGCTGTACTTGCTTCTCATTTTTTTAAGTTGACATGTGTGTGTGTGTGTGTGTGTGTGGAGACCCACCTCCTCATATGTGTGTGTGTGTGTGTGTGTGTGTGTGTGTGTGTGTGTGAAGGTCGAGGCTGCTCGCTCACTGCTTCATTTCATTTCAGGAATCATGGGTTCAGTGAAAAGCGGGCAATCGAAGAGGCTGCCACTCCCGAGAGAGAGAGAGAGAGAGAGAGACCCCCCCCCCCCCCCCCCCCCCTCAGATACAATTACTAAAATGAGTGTGTGTCTGTGTGTTTTCAGGTCCAAGGTGACTACGTGCCTGTGCGTGTGTGGAAGTGTGCATGTGCAACTTGTATCTACATTACATGGCCGAAAGTATCTGGAATTTCTCTTCTTTTCTTGCTTCTAATAAACCAGTCGACTACTACTAACGTTGCGTCTTCTTCCTCAGCGCCATACATATTCAACGTAGTGATGAAACATGCTCAGTAGAGCAGTTTGTCCATTTGGGCAACATGGCGGCGTCCATGTAAGAAGACCTGCGGTGTATGTAGATAGAAATGACTCATTCTAAGGTAATAAAAACATAACAGTTCATTATGGAAGGTCTTTATACGCCACTGAAAACATAGTTATGGATCTTAAATTGCATTTCTGTCAATAGATCCTCCTAAATCTGTGACAGGACACAAACCTCTCCTCACTGTTTCTTTCCTCCATGGAATTACTTCCCGCATTCGTACTGAACGCTGGCACTGGATGAAAATTGTCCAAAAAGGACATCATTTCTGGAGGGACTGGACTGGTTTTTCATGGTTTGGGCTTGGCCAGTTTTGTTCCAACAGTAAGCTGGAAGCCATAAGTTTTGTCTTGCACACTCTCATACTGGATCTCATGGATTTGATATGGTTTTATTTTAAACTTGGACTGAGAGATGTGTCCAGGTTTTGGCTGTTAACCACAAGGTTGTGTTATCTTTAATATATTTTACAGGATTTACAGGACTTAAATAAAACTTTGATGGTACTGCGGATGTCATGCAGTTCATAAAAACTCAGCTTCAGACTTATGGTCTTCTTCTTCTCCGCAACCCCTTCCACGACGGTTGGGGTGAACTGGAAGGCGGACGGCGAGCCGGGTCGGATCACCCAACATCAGCGTTGGACTTCACTGATGCTCTTCTGTCTGAATCTTGGGAGCAAATCCCTGCAGAGAGGTTTTAAAAATCTGGTGGAGAGCCTGAAACCAGAGGAGTGGAGGCTGTAATAGCAGCAGATTGATGCCCGTGGTTTTGAAATCACGTGTCTACATACTTTTGGCCATTTAGTGTAAGAGTGTGCGGTTTTGCGTCCATGTCTTTGTGTGTGTGTGTGTGCAAAATTCAAAATGTGTTCTTGTGCAGTTTGAGGCCCACGTTTTGGTTTTCTCTTCCTCCCTACCAATCCTTCTCTGTCCTCCCTCTCTCTCTCTCTTTCCACTTTTGCAGTCTCAACCTCCCTCGCACGCCCCCCTCCCTCCACTCCACCTCTTTCCAAATTGCCTTACACTCCCGTCTCTCTCTCCGCCTGTCAGGAAGAAGTGAACAATATGACCTTTAGTCGCAGCGATAACATTCTCCCTCATGAATTCCCCGCCGCTCCGGCTTTCCTTTCACATTCTCACCGGTTTGTTTTCGCTCCCGGCGCCTCTGTTTTCCTTAGAAATGACCATCTCGGCACGCTGTGATTAATGAGACGCACCAGGGGGCAGAGAGGAAGTCAGGCCTCCACTAAATATATGTTCACACTGCAGCCGAGAGTGTCTTGTCACAGTGTGAACAGTGAAAAGCTGCATGAAGTCGTTCTTTATCATTTTATTTTATACCCTTCTGGGCTGAGTGGAAATGAGACCCAGAGGCCTGGATGGATTTAGCTAACACGGGGCCCTGGGGCAAAATATGAGCTATTGACCCCCAAACCTTCCACCCACTATATATCCTGTCAAGTTAAATAGCCATCTCGTACAGTGTACACAGCTCGCGACATGTGGCACCTTTATTATGCTTCGTCTAGTGCTCCAGAAGTCAAACAGTACTCCCATGTGGAGTCCTACCTAGTGTCTTTTTTACTAAAGTTTATTTAGAAAACTTTAAACTAAAAACCTTTTAAGATTTTAAAGGCAGGGCTTATTTTTTTTGGTTTGCATTCATCATGCAGAAATCTACCTGCATCTAAGCTCTATCTATAGTAATGGAAATTTTGTAATGTTGCCTGATTGATGCAGACAAACAAGTCACGTCCTACAAAAGATGGTTTCTCAGTGTGAGAGACCCGGGTTCAATTCCCCACTGTGACATATCCACCAATGCAAGCAATTGAAAGTCGCTTTGGATAAAAGCGTCAGCTAAATGTAAATGTAACACCATGAATTTATTTTTGCAAGTTACACAGTGTTTCACGCACCTGTCTCACGTTATAGATGTGCGAGGTCATTTTCTTTTGAAGGCAGGGCTTCAAAATGTTTATTATTTTTGCGTTACTTTTGACAAATTATTTTTTTCATTATTAATTATTCTGGGGACTATTTTCTTCATGCATCAATTAATCGCATTTGAAATGTCAGATGTGAATATCACAGGGTGACGTTATAAAATGTCAAACCCAGAGTCCTCAGAATGAAGCATATGCTCACATTTAAGGTGCTGTAACAAACAAATATGTGTAAATTTGTAAAACAGGCTACGATACACAAAACTACATTTACCTTTACTCATTTGGCAGATGCTTTTATCCAAAGCGACTTACATTTGAGGAACAACATACAAGCATCAACAGAGCATCAAATACAGCACGAGATCTAAAACTGACAATACATACTAGTAAGAGCAGCAATACATACTAGTAAGAGCTAATATCACATCAATGGTGAAAATACCTAGGGAAAGAAGTAAGAGTTAACAAAAAGTGCAATCAATACAAGATAATTGTAGGGGATAGAAGAAGAAGAGCACAGGAAGTGCATGTTAGAGGTGTTATAAGAGGAGTGTTCTCTGAAGAGTTTTCAAGAGCTTCTTGAAGTTAGCGAGGGACGCCCCTGCTCTGATGACATGTGGGAGCACGTTCCAACATCGTGGTGTCACAGATGAGAACAGCCGGGACTGGGATTGCTTGGTGGGAAGGGATGGCAGAGCCAGGCGGCGTTCGTTGGAGGAGCGTAGCGGCTGAGAAGGAACATAAGTTTGTATTATGGAGTTTCGGTTGATGGTGCAGACCCAGTAGTTACTCTGTATGCAGCATTAGTGACTTGAATTTGATTCTGGAGGCCACGGGGAGCCAGTGGAGGTCACTGAGTAATGGAGTGACACGAGTCCTTTTGGGCTGATCAAAAACCAGACGCGCTGCTGTAGACGGGACTGACTGGGGATGATTACTTCATAAATACACTCACCTAAAGGATTATTAGGAACACCTGTTCAATTTCTCATTAATGCAATTATCTAATCAACCAATCACATGGCAATGCTTCAATGCATTTAGGGGTGTGGTCCCAGTCAAGACAATCTCCTGAACTCCAAACTGAATGTCAGAATGGGAAAGAAAGGTGATTTAAGCAATTCTGAGCGTGGCATGGTTGTTGGTGCCAGACGGGCCGGTCTGAGTATTTCACAATCTGCTCAGTTACTGGGATTTTCACGCACAACCATTTCTAGGGTTTACAAAGAATGGTGTGAAAAGGGAAAAATATCCAGTATGCGGCAGTCCTGTGGGTAAAAATGCCTCGTTGATGCTAGAGGTCAGAGGAGAATGGGCCGACTGATTCAAGCTGATAGAAGAGCAACTTTGACTGAAATAACCACTCGTTACAACCGAGGTATGCAGCAAAGCATTTATGAAGCCACAACCTTGAGGCGGATGGGCTACAACAGCAGAAGACCCCACCGGGTACCACTCATCTCCACTACAAATAGGAAAAAGAGGCTACAATTTGCAAGAGCTCACCAAAATTGGACAGTTGAAGACTGTAAAAATGTTGCCTGGTCTGATGAGTCTCGATTTCTGTTGAGACATTCAGATGGTAGAGTCAGAATTTGGCGTAAACAGAATGAGAACATGGATCCATCATGCCTTGTTACCACTGTGCAGGCTGGTGGTGGTGGTGTAATGGTGTGGGGGATGTTTTCTTGGTACACTTTAGGCCCCTTAGTGCCAATTGGGCATCGTTTAAATGCCACGGCCTACCTGAGCATTGTTTCTGACCATGTCCATCCCTTTATGGCCACCATGTACCCATCCTCTGATGGCTACTTCCAGCAGGATAATGCACCATGTCACAAAGCTCGAATCATTTCAAATTGGTTTCTTGAACATGACAATGAGTTCACTCTACTAAAATGGTCCCCACAGTCACCAGATCTCAACCCAATGGAGCATCTTTGGGATGTGGTGGAACGGGAGCTTCGTGCCCTGGATGTGCATCCCACAAATCTCCATCAACTGCAAGATGCTATCCATCAATATGGGCCAACATTTCTAAAGAATGCTTTCAGCACCTTGTTGAATCAATGCCACGTAGAATTAAGGCAGTTCTGAAGGCGAAAGGGGGTCAAACACAGTATTAGTATGGTGTTCCTAATAATCCTTTAGGTGAGTGTATCTGTGAATCCACAAACTGAACACTCAGAATCAGCTGGTGAGCAGAACTAAAACCGACTCAATCATTACACACAAGTTGTTTTCTACAGGACTACTTCTCTGGGATAATTTGCCTTTTTATAGTCGTACCCTAATTATAATGTGATTTCTCTGTTGCACGTACTACTGACAGACACATTTGGTTCATTTTAGGCACAGACACTACTTGGTTAGGTGTAGGAAAATATCCTGGTTTGGGTTAAAACAACTGACTTAACTTAAGTAACGAAACTTACAACTAAAAACAATCAACATTTTTGTTTCACCACAGCCGGTCTCCTTGGTGAAAGTCCGGTTTATGACCCACCCGTCCACCCAACCACCTCTTTATTCAGACCTTTCTTTTATTTATACTAGGTATTTGATGCCCTGGGAATGTGAATCAGTAAAGTGACTCTACTGAGTACAAAGTGACACATTTTCAAAGCCCAAATGAAGACTTGGTGCACAAATATCAACCTGCAACACCCCGTAATGTGAAGGGATTCACACGGCCGTAATGTGAAGGGATTCACACGGCCACACTACAAACAAGAAGAAACGCAATTTATGTCTCTACTTTCTTCAAGTTTTATGGTCCTGTGACATTTCTTGACTTTGACACTGTTCCCGTTCCACGCTACAAACACACATAACGCATGTGCACTGTCATTTTCCCAAACCGCTCCCGGAGTGCCCCCTCATCCTCTTTAATCTCTCCCTGCTCCAACACAGCTGATTTAAATGATGCTTGTTGTCAAGCAGCTTCAGCAGTTCATCGCGAGTTTGACTCAGCTGAGCAGGGAGAGACATAAAACATGCAGGACGAGGGCTGCTCCAGGAGAGGTTTGGGATTTGTCCAAGTATACTGTTTGTCATTAAAGAAAAATGTAGCTTTACCATTTTAGACTAACTGTAAATGATCAATCAAACTAAACACCAATTATACTTTTCCAACTAATGGATTTGTTTGCTCGGATCTCCCTGTAGCTGTCTCACCTACTTAACCAATTTACGTAAATTGTTTTGCAGCTGCGAGCAGCTCCTCCATTTCCCTTTGTATCATTGCATTGATGGAAAACAGCACACTGAGACCATCAAGCATTTTTCTGTCTGCATCGGGACCATGTTTGGGTTTATACGTAGTTTTTATGTCTTTATAAAAACACAAAAGCCCAGGTGCGTAGATGTAGAGCAGAACTGGGACATAAGTTATGAGTTGAAGAGGATCCCCTGAACGCACCATTTAAGGTGTTTAGGTTAAACCAGCTGTTTCCTCTAAATTAATGCAAAAGAAATCTGCATTTCTCAGACTCTTTAAAGTGTCGACCTGCTGTGACTTATTTCATCTTGAATTGTGGAATCCTCCCTCTGATCTGCAGGCGAATTGCATGCTGGGATAAGTTGTCTGCTCTGCTGTAACTCTAAATGGGATCAAGGGGTCGTGGAAAAAACAATGGCTGAGTGGATGCTCATTGAGCTTGCACTCAGTCGTGCAGCCTGTTTGGCAGTGGGCTGGCTGTTGCTTCACTGATCTGCCACCCACTCTCACACACACAGTTTTTGGGTAATCAAGTCCTGATGGGCAATCGCACACCAAATGAAGAGTGTTAGTCATGAGCAGACAAACACTGAGCGTGCCCCGTGGCGCTCCAGATGCAGGTGTGATGATGCAGGCTGCTAATGGCACGTAAACACAAACCTGTCTGTCAGGAGAAGCATGTTCCTGCTCACCTCTCTGCTGCTGTTTCTGATCACATGATCTGGCAGGCATGTTACGCAGTCGTCCGATGGGTTTGGTTTCTGTGTCTCTGCAGGCTTTGACTTGAACAACGAGTGTTTGCGAGTGAGGAGGAAGTAAAGTGCAAGTAACAGAAAGCCAGCTTGTGTCTTTGATCTCCAGCGAGAGGTGAGGAGACCAAGCTGAGAGCGAAACCTGTTTTCCACGACAGATGGAGATGGTTTTTATTATTCTCCAGTGTCGCAGGACGTCGGGTCACAGGCACAAATCAAAAGCTGGAACTCTTGAGTCCAGGGATTAAAAAAGTATTGAAGTGTAAATATTTCACAGACAAACCATTTAGGTTTATGATGTCCATAAATCAGGGATAAAAACAAGAATAAATGAAATAAAAGCCACATGATTCATGCGAGAGATTATATCTACATTTATTTATAACAGCTGATTTAGTGCCGGGAGGCTGGTGTCCAGGAGGAGGAGGATTTGGCGCCATCTCCTGTGTCAGACTTTTATTCTGAAATAACCATTAAAAACTTTGATGACACTTAAAAATATATATATACTGTATATGGTGTCTGTGTGTGTGTGTGTGTGTGTGTATATATATATATACCAATGGAAATTAAAAACTTAGTGAACTACAATAATTGAATAACTAATAATTTAAAAAAATTATTTAATAATTATAGAAATATAAATTGTGACGTTATACACCTTAATTTAATAAATAACTGTTTGTAATAACAGTTTACTTTTAAACTACAACTTAATAGCTGACCTATGATTTAATAACTGTATTTTATACCATCATAACAACCTACAAGACTTGTAGTTATTATAAATAGTAACATAATAAACTTTAATCTAATAATAAGGAATTACTATATTTTTAATCACTAATATATTTAGTACAAGCTATTAATAACATCATTTAAAAATGTGTAACTATATATTTGAAAGGATTACTCGATTTCTAACTCCTGTAATAACCAATAAGCGTAATTCATGACTTATTAAACCAGGACCTAATAGCTAATCACTATTTTGGTTATTAGTTTTTCACAAAATACCATTACAGAGTATTTATTAGATATTAACTTGAGTTTATTTCCTTAAAAATATAAAAATAAAGTGTGAATGGTGAGTTTGCACCAACAAAAACATCTCTATGTGTTATAATCTTTAGTTTTTCATAAATAAATCACAATATAGTCAATTGTGAACGTTTTAGTGAACTGGGGGATTTGAAGTCTTAATCTTCCCTTTAAATACTTTTACATCACAGTTATCAATTAGTAAAATTGTAAAAAAAAAAAAAAAAAAACAACAACCCAAATCTGGTGCTGTTTTGGACGTCAACGGGTGAACTGAGTGAACTCTCTTTCACAGTGAAGTTGTGCGTCACGTGAAAACACCGTGACCCCAAACAGGAAGTTAACTGCTCCACTTTGCAGACGTAAACAAAACAACATAAAAGCTGAACTAGCAGGATGGGAAGGACTTAAAGTTACGCTTACTCTCATTTTAGTTTTATTTACATCATTGGTGTTTGTTGGATTTAAAAAAAGATGTAAAATTCACGTTGTCACACCACAAATATATATTCCACACATGTAATATCTGCCGACGACTCGTTTAAAATGTGAATACATCTGCTAATAAACCACATATGATTTTATCACACATGAAATGTTCACATGTGAAATGCTGTTCAATGTTGATGTCTAATATTTCACAGGTGATTATCTGACAATAACTTATTGCACTTTATGATTTTTCTTTCTGTTAAGCCAACACGGAGAAGCCCTTCAAGAGTGAAGTATAACTCTATGACACCTCCATGTCCTGATGAAGATCATGTAAAGCCACCAAATGAACCTCGTGGTGAGATTGTTTTCAAAACAATTTATTAAATAATCTGCTGATCATTTTCTTAATCAATCATTTAGTCCAGAGGTTTTCAAATTCAGGGGCAGGCATCACAAGTGGGGCTTCAAACTGTTTCACGGGAAGTGAAAAAAAGATTTCTTCTTTGGCGTAGTATGAACAATATTTATATTAGCTATTGTTTTGTGTCTGTATGATCATACAACATAATCCTGATGTGACAGGCATCCATGAATTCAGTGAAACCAAGCGAGTCAACTAAGAGTGTGTGAAGGGGGAGGAATATCCACAGTCCCAGACTTTAAAAACAATAATTTAGCCTATTGAATGTCAGAAGAACAGTGAAAATGTCCATCGCATGTGCTTGTTTTGTCCGACAAATAGTCCACCAACAAAAGATGTTTCAGAGATTTTAATTCAGAGAAAAGGCAAAATAATGTACTCACATTTCAGCAGCAAATGTTTGGCATTTGTTCTCGTTTACAGCTTTTTTTGTGTGTGATCAATTTACATGTGCTTATCTTTTATGGACAAACAAGTAACACGCATCCACTTACTGAACAATTAAGATGACTGGATAATATTTCACTCTATATTTTTACTAATATTCTTACAAGCACCATCAGATTCCATTAATCCGTTGGGTCTAGAAAGATGCTGTGGTGCTTTACATATTTAACTTAGCTTATTGTGACTAAATAAACACTCTTATATCAAACGCCAAATCCTCTATTAAAAGCTGAGGACCTCGAGTATGTCCACCAGAGCTCGCCATCTACAGGTGCTGCTGCACATATCGTCTTGTAATCGCAGTGAAACACTGTCCAGGAATGTCACACTTCATGTGCACTGACAGAGAAATCCCCTTTGCAAAAAAACTCCCCACATGATAATACACATACAGTACATTATTAAAAAGAAGAAAACATAAAGGAAACAAGAAATACTGCGATCCTAATCCTTGCATACCACTAGAGTTGCCAATAGAACAGCTACTTTATCCGATTTGTGTGTCCTGCAGGAGGACATCTGGGGCCAGTTATGTATATTTGCTTGGCTGGAACAACCTGTTGCATAACTCTACTTATATTAAAACTGCATTTATACAATATTAAACTATTTAATGCGTAATTTCATATCCAGCATTAAAATGACAGCACTTAGAAACATTCAGAGGTCTCTCTCTACAGTCACACATCGCCTTATCTGATTTAAAAATCCGTATTTCTTATTTATAAAATGACTTATTTTACTATATGCGCATCTAAAAAGTCTCCCTCTACAGTCACACATCGCCTTATCTGATTTAAAAATACATATTTCTTATTTATAAATTACTTATTTTACTATATGCGCATCTAAAACAGTCACTTTTAACTATAAAGTTCACAAAACGTGTGCGTGTGGAATTTGCTTGCAGAAATCCACATGTTAGCAATAAACTGTCTGGAATCCTTTGAGAAAAGGAGAAAATCACAGTCTCCTGATAGCCAGTGTTACAACTTTCTGAATAATGTGAAGCCCTGTAACGACCACACTCGAGTCAGTGTTTCTGCTCCGCTCTTGGCTCGCTGCGTTTTGGGCGCGAGGCCAAACACAGAGTCTGTCTTGAAGTTCACTGTCGTCGGTCCATTATATTAGTTTTGGGCCAGCAGCGGTGGGGGAAGGAAACACGATAGTCCATTTGGGATCTCTTCTCTCGTGGTGATATACAATAATTCTCTCGCATGCATTTCACAGCTATCACCATCATCATCATCATCATCAGCAGTGCATTGGCCCTACAGAGGTCACCAGAGAGTGGAGTTACAGGGGGTGAGGGACGCTTTCAAATATACAATATTGCACAATCCAGTGAGTTAGCACATGTGAACTCTGGCATACTTTTACACACACACACACACACACACACACACACACACACACACACACACACACACACACACACACACACAGTGTGTCTCAGTGCTTAAAAGACTAAAAGCTGAAGAAAACGTCTGAGTGACTTTGACCTCTAAAACTAGTCAGATTGTAAGAATATTCAAGGCTCTTCATTTTTAAGTTTTTAAAGAAAGATACCGGAGGCTTTTTTTAAATTTAAGGAGCACATTATATCTTAACCAGCTCACAGGAAGAATTTCAGAATAAGAGCGCTTAGCCTGCGTGATTTTGCTGACATGTTTAGATGTTACATGTTAACTATGATAGAAGCACAAAAAAGCTCCCTGTGGGAATACAGCGCGAATACAGCTGTGAAGAACGTAGGAAAAGCACAAAAATGACAAATTAACAAGTCAATATTGTGGGGCAGGCTAAACGCTTCCAGTAGACGTTGACGCCGGGCAGAGGACAGAACAAAACCGTGGCGCACACGCGACGGGTTGGAGACGGGTCAGAGAATGATGAACAGAATAAAACTGGGGATTAAACGTGAATGAGCTGTGAAATATCCCTCAAAGTTAGAAATAAACAAGACAAGAAAAAAGGACATAGTGTTGAGCTGCGACTGGTTTCTGGATTCTTGTAACGGACGGTATAACCGGACACCTCCGATGCAGGTGTGTCTCCTTTCATGCGCCATGAAACAAACTTATGATTCGTAAGGATTTTAAAACAAATGAAGTTCGAGCATTTTTGTGAAAACATTTCCTGCTATTCAGTATTGAATCCTGAAAATCAAAACAGCAAACAAAAAAGAAGCTAAATCTGGAGTTTAAAACACAAAAAGTGTTTTTTGGTTTTTGTTCTGGATGCTCTCACTTTTATTTAATCACTGATACTATGAGCAGTAGTTCTGGTTTACGTATCAGTAATACGTGAATGTTGTTTAACATGTCGTCTCTAGTGTTTTAATAATGAAAATAATGAGCCTCAAGTATCCAGCCGTTGGTTTGCATTGGATTTATGGCCTCTGACTTAAGTGTGAAAGCGTCACTTTCTTTGGTTACATTTGATTGGAAGTGTTTTGGTTTCAGGGGGGACGCCTTGTGCTTGATTTGACTCTAGACCTGCAGGCCCAGAGATTTTCAGCAGCAATGCGTTGATGTTTTAAGTAAATAACCGCTGCACAACAACAAGATGAGTTTTAAAGAGAAACTTAACAATTAAAGTAACCTTCTTTGGTGTCACCTTGTTTAGATAAGTTTCAAAATAAAGAGGTTTTCTGGTGCCTGTCAGGGTTGATGATTCGGCCCTGATTTGCCCCCTAGTGGATATAACTTTAATCCTCCAGGTGCACACTAGGTACACAGGAGAGTAGGTGATCACATTGCAGCAACTTATCTACTGTTTTTAAATTTGACATGTTACGCAGACGCTCCGATCCAAAGCAGTTGATGTTTTATCTTTTGTCTTGTTCAGGACGCGTTGCTACTGACGGACAGTGGATCAAACCTGTGACCTTCTAGGTTACAGGTTTGATTTTTTTTAGTCCATTTTGGCCCCCCACATGGATTACACTTGATTACCAAAGACATGAGGACACATGATCCAACAGGGAGCTCTCTGAAATACCAGACGCTTGGCTCCAGGACATCTTCGGTGCCACAAACAACATCCAGAGATCCTGGTTCACGAGGATCTGGAGCACGTTGATCGTCTACAGATTCTGGTCCAGCCAGCGGATATAGTTGTTCATGCTCCTCAGTCCAACGCGAGACATCATTGGCAGGTACGCAAACACCATGCAGCCATGAAATCCGTCCTCGTAGTGATCACTGTACACCGTCACGCCGGCGTCCTGCAGGCGCCTTGCGTACATCAAGCCGTCATCCCTCAGCACGTCAAACTCACAGGTCATCACGTATGCTTTAGGCGTCCTACTTAGAACCCGCTGCTCTGCCAGCAGCGGCGCCGCCCTCACGTCCAGCAGCTCCGGTATCATGCCCATCACCCCTGGCGACCCCGTTTCTTTCACAACCGGCCGAAAGTGCCTCCTGCGTTCAGCCGGGAGCAAAGCGGTCCAGTTCAGCTTGGAGCGCGTGTCGGCGCTGATGGCCGGCTGGTCCAGGGAGCTGTGGTTGTTAGCGAGCAGGAGGGGCTCCAGGGAGGAGTCGGCGCCCAGGTACTGCAGCCAGAACTGAGCCATGACAGGCCTGTAGAGGATGGGCACGGCCTGGTTCTGCTGGTAGGACGGGGTATGGAAGTCGAGCGCCTGCAGCACGGGGTAGATCAACGCCTGGGCCTTGAACTTCACTGTCAGCGTGTCATCTGAGCTGAGCTGCGGACACAAGTCAGGTTTTAGATTATAGTCCAGATAATATGGGTAAATATTTTATATACTCCTTCGTCTTCACAGCGTCTTTAAAATTATTCTGATGATCGCTTGGGTTGATGAAGGGACAACACAACTTGTCACGTATGGACGCTTGGTCAAGATGCCTTGGCGTTGCTTTTTAACGCCATACATACCCCTTTAGCGTTGTTTTTAGAAGTGTAGGTCTCCGCGGTTCAGACGCTAGAAGTACTTGGTTACGTTCAGGAAAAGATCATGGTTTGGGTTAAAATAAATATATAACTTGCGTCACTTAACTAAAATCAACGCTGACGTTTTGTTTTACACAGGGAACATGACTATGACGGAAAGGGGTCAGATTGTAAACGCCAAGTAAAAACTGTTTAAAATTCTACACTTAGTCTTTTCATCTTAAAACTCTTCACTTTAACCCAAACTTATAAGGTTTTTTGAGTGCTCGCAGTTTCTGGCTGAACTAACCCTCATTTTGACCCGAGCTGAACCGTCTCCTGAGGGTTTCCCCTCTGTGGACTCTTAACAGCAGGTTAAACTAGGCCGACTTCACCAAACACAGCATTTGTTTTATGTTTCAGCACAACAGAGAGCTATTCAGTTCTGTACATGCAAAAATACAGTGATAATCCAGTATTTTGCATATCGGATCACTACTACCAGCCCGTGAGCTGGCTGGTAAGCTGCCACTAAGAGGTGAACAAGCGACTCAAGGCACTGGAACTAAATCCTGACAAGTGCTGACAAGTGAAATGTTTAAATGTGCAAAAAGCTAATGTGTGTTTCGTTTTGTTTTGGGGGTTTTTACCTCCTGAGCCACAGCGGCCGCCAGGTTTCCCCCGGCGCTGTCTCCAGACACGCACACCCTCTCTGGATCGATGCTGTATCGCTCTAACACCTGAGGGGACAGGAAAGCCCGGGACGCCGCTAACGCATCGTGGTACTGGTCCGGGAACACCGCCTCTGGAGCAAGACGGTAACTGCAGCAACGGGACAAAATTATTTCTATTACATAATGAAACATGTATAAAAAGCCAGGACAGCGTCGGTGCTTCGGTCTTTCAGTTTAAGGACGACGAATAAGAAAGGCTTAACATTTCTATCTATCTAATTTAATATCTAATTTAATTTCCTGATGCAAGCAGAGACTGTTCATTATTAACAAACTGTAAACTGTATTCTTGCAGCAAGTAAATAAAGATTAGGTTTCATTTAATAAAAAGCAAGAAAAGAAATCTATAAAATGAAATTTTTTTATTCAGGTTTTCCCTTTTTACACACAACAAAAAATCTTCTGAAAAGGAACACTAACTCTGCTGTTTTAAGGAGCTTTCAGCTGCACCTCATGGCCTTCGTCAGCTAAAATAAGGTAGGTATAAATTTGATTGTTGCCTCAGCACAAGAACAGAAATAAGTGCAGGTAAATAGAGAAAGTGAAAAATACTAGTAATAGTTTGTATTGAAATATAAATTCCTTCATTCCTACTTAATATAATATGTATAACATAGTCCAAATAAAGCTTCCGAGGGTGTACTGACAAAGGGCTGTTCTGGCTGTAGAAATTTGATTTTGCATCAACTTCCTTTACTTCTAAATTTGCGCAGGTCTGATCTGTAAACAAGTTGGAACAGCCGGTAACACACCTCCAGAAGTAGGACGACAGACCAGTTGGTCCCAGTTGATCCTTCAGGGAAATAATGAACAAAACTCTTTCATTTGTTTACTGTACAATTTAAGGTTTTTCACTGGACATTGTTACGGCAGAAAATTGTGTCCGCTTACATTTAATCTTTTATCTGTATTTATCCTTAACCTTTCCTCTCCTATACTCTTTATGTTAGTCCGTCCACATTTACTAGGGTTTAGGTCAGAGCTGTGAGATTGTTTTGGTGTTTTCCCTCTCTTGTTGTTCCTCTCCTCTACTGGAATGTTCATTCAAGGCCGAGAGAGGATCTCCGTTCCCCAAAACACAGAAACCTAGACTGTGTAAATGATGATGCATCCCTTTTGCTCGGGGCCAGACGCCCGAAGCCGCCCCAGGCAGCAGGTCTCTGGACCCTCTGTATATGTGTTGTAGAACTTCTCTGTTTATTCTCTTTTGTTAATAAATTCTTCAAAGACAACGGTTGGTTGTAACTCAATTCTTTGCTCAACCCCTCACCAGGAATATAATTTCCACGACAGACATGAACTACTCATATTTTTGTCCAACTAAACCATATCCTTCGGAAACAGTTTGATAGATACGTTTTCCAGTACACTATCTGAAGAACTAGTAAACGTCAATATTGGCCTTTTAATTAGAAATCAGAAATTAGAAATCAGATTGTAATTAATGAATAGAAATAAGTTGTTCCAATCTTAGATACAAACATATCAACAACTAGTAGATTAACTCCAAAAAGTCTTTCTTCTAAATTTGCTGTAGTGTGACAGGACTTACTCGACCGATATGACGACAGAGTCCAGGTCCTCCGCCATTTTCCGACAGAGCCGGTCGTATGATCGCATCCCTGTGAAGCAGGTGGACTCAGTGAGTGACATCGTGTATATACAATAATACATCATATAACGCTGTGATGCATCTTAACCCAAAATGTTGACTTTTCTCCTTTGAGACTTTTTTGTTAGACTCAGCTGTAGCTGTAGGGAAAACAAACAAAACATAAATCCTCCTTTTCTGCATCTTTCAGGGGTTTTAAATCAACACTCACGTCCGCTGCAGAGCGCCCATCCTCCACCGTGGAAATACAGGACCCCCCTTTTCAGCTGCTTCCCCCCTTTCGGCTGGAAGACCCGGGTGGGCACGCCGCCCAGCGTGGAGTCGGTCACGTGCACGGCGGGGCAGGAGCGAGCCTCGATCACCTCCACCCAGGACACCACCTGGTTCAACATGTGGACACGATGGCACACACCCAGCTTGTGAGCCACGTCACTCTGGAAATACAAACACGCCCGTTATTACGCGGTTAGAGAGAGTTTTCTATACCTGACAGGACTCCGCTTTGACTCCCGCAGCCCTGCAGAGTACAGGAAGACACTGAAATCAGAACTTTATAGATGGAAAAGTAGTCTTCAAGAAGAGGTTTGTTTTCTTTGAGTGTCTTCTGGTTGTACAAACATTTTAATCAGAGGTGGAAGAAGTACTCAGATCTTGTACTTATACTTAGTATATAATGATGACTGTGAATTGTTTTTATCTTATTTTACCAATAAGGTGGTGTCAATCCGAGCCTCTATTACCCCCGCGGCCTCTTACTCAGAGGTTCCTCACCAGCAACAAGAGAGTTTTAACCAGTTTTATCCCATCGACTTGTCTGAGCTTTTAAAAACAGTATCACAAATGAGAGTGTCCTCCAGCCCACTTGATGTAATACCTACAAAGTTTCTACTGAAAGTAACAGATTCTGTTGGGCCCCATTTGATCTCTGTTTTCAACAGCTCCCTATCTACTGGTTGTGTCCCTGATTATTTTAAAACGGCTTGCGTGAACCCACTTTTAAAGAAACCTGGTTTAGATCCCTCCCTCCCACATAATTTTAGACCAATTTCAAAACTGCCTTTTATTGCAAAGATTCTAGAAAGAATTGTGTCCAAACAGCTGCTCACTGTGCTGGAAAATAACAAATTATTTGAAAAGTTTCAATCGGGTTTCAGGAAGTACCACAGCACTGAGACTGCCCTGCTTAAAGTCACCAATGATCTTTTAACGTCTGCTGATGAAGGCATGTGCTCAGTCCTGGTACTCCTGGACCTTAGCGCTGCTTTTGACACCATTGATCACAACATCATGTTAGACAGACTGAGGCACTGGGTGGGGATCTCTGGTACTGCCCTAGAATGGTTTTCATCCTACCTGTCAAATAGGAAGTTTTGCGTGTCTGTAAACAACTATGTCTCCTCATTCTGTCCAGTTAAATACGGTGTGCCTCAGGGGTCGGTCTTAGGACCCATTTTGTTTTCCTTGTATCTGCTTCCCCTTGGACATATTATCCATAAACATGGCATTTCTTTTCATATTTATGCTGATGACACACAAATAAACTTGCCCGTCAGATCCACAGACCCTGGAATGCTGAGTTCACTTAACAACTGCCTTTGTGAAGTTAAAAAATGGATGTCAAATAATTTCCTCCAACTGAACTCAGACAAAACAGAAATCCTGGTCATCGGGTCCCAGCAGATGGCAAATCAAATACTGCCATCTGCTGGTTCCCTAGTAAATCACATTAACCTGTGGCAAAGAACCTTGGTGTTTGGTTTGATAGTAATTTAAATTTCGAGCAGCACACCACAAAGCTTGTTCAATCATGTCTTTATCAACTTAGAAATATAGCAAAAATTCGATCTATGTTAACTTTTAAGGACACCGAGACCATTTTACACGCCTTCATCTCATCACGCCTGGATTATTGCAACAGCCTTTTCACCGGTTTAACCCAAAAATCTACTGATCGACTCCAGACTGTCCAGAACTCAGCTGCCAGGCTTTTAACCAGAACAAAGAAATATGACCACATTACTCCTATTTTAGCTTCATTACACTGGCTCCCAGTATGTTTTAGAATTGACTTTAAAATTCTATTGATCACTTTTAAAGCTCTTCATGGCCTCTCGCCTTGTTATATTTCTGACCTTTTAGTCCCATACGCACCAGCACGTACCTTGAGATCCTCGGGCAGAGGTCTGCTGTCTGTTCCAGAGTCTCGACTGAAAACTAAAGGGGACAGAGCGTTTGCTGTCAGGGCCCCGAGGCTCTGGAACAGCCTACCCGAGGAAATCAGGTCGGGCACTTAGAAATAAGTAAAAGTAATGCATTAAAAGGTTAAATACTTGAAGTGCTCATTATGCAGAATAACCTATGTCATTATTGAATGTACGTAATCACTTTAATCACTTTAAATGACAGGTGATCGCCCTCTTCCTGCTTTTATGTTGATTTAAATTGATTAATATTAAAATAAGGTGGGAAAAAGAAATACACTCAAGGAAAGAAGGAGCAGGGCGTGGAAACCTGTCCTGAGTGTGCTAAAAACTTGTTGCACTGCACTGACGCATAAGATTATAAGATTTGGGTTTGTGAACTGCCAATGGAAGCTCAAGAGCAGCTTAAGTTAAAACCGAACGTGTTACATCAGAGTCACAGTTTGCACAAGCCACACGATGCCACATATACTGTATAAAACAACAGTTGCAGGTCAGAGGTCATTCTCTTGTTGCATCTTGAGACAGTCGTGAACCTGCTGCACGCTGCTCACCTGGTGTCAACTTGCTGCTACAGCACGTGACCTTGCTCATGTGACCATTGATTCTCTTTGACTTTATTTAGATCTGCATAATTGTTATTATTATATCAAAAAATATATAAAGTGTGAATATACTTAATCACTCATCTGGGTAGATTCTACAGTACTTTTATTGTATTTTGTTCCTCTTTCTTTACATTCCTCTGTACTGCTGTGGCAAATTTGAATTTCCCCTACAGAGGATTAATAAAGGAATATCTTGTCTTACATAAGAGATGTATTTTCAGCTTTGAGATAATGCATTTTTCTGATTATACAATGCGTTTTTAAGCATTTTATTTTTGCTTTAGAAGTCAGATAATGTTCTTCAGCCATACAGGAACACTTGCAATGTAAAACCATTGTGTCTGTGACTGGATTTATTCTATTATGTCCTACTCTATGTTAGAGTATAGTATTTTAATCTATTCTGTACAGTATATAATATTCTATTTTGTTTTCTACTCTGCACTCAGATGTTATTCTATTCCAATTGCATCTCATAGTTTTATCTCTTTAAAGTTTATTCTGAATGAATGATTCTGTTCTTATCTGTAATATCAAATTTATTTTCTCCTCTTCCATACATCCCTTCTCTTTCCCACGTTACGTATATTTCTACCAATGCTTTGCTGATCTAGATATGTCACCCGTCTCCTATCCTTGTTTTATGTCTTTTGTTTTCAATCATTTTACAGATATTTTGTATTCTGACTCTTGTTTTTCCAGCCCTGACACAGCTCCCTGTCTCTTGTTTCCCTTGACATCAACCTGTCCATCCTGCAGCTCTCACCGCCTGCATGAAGCTCCGGAACAGCGCGTCCAGCAGCATCAGCTTCCACGGCTCGCTCACGCCGCTCGGCAGCGGCAAGTAGACGTAGTAGGCGGCCGCCGACATCAGCACGGCTCCGGCTAAACGGAGCCTCATAGCGACGGACTGTACTTGCTTAAAGCCTGATGTTCATGCGGGATTAAACTCCCCCGGTACCGAGCGCTCGGTGACTCCGCCAAGGATCGACGAAACACGGAATGACCTTGATTTCAAAATAAAAGCCGGGGTTGATGATTTCGGTCGATCTCACTGCGGCGACGGCAACAAAAATTACTTTTATTTTGAAATCTCTTTCTAGGAAGTAGTTTGCATTGCGTAAGGTAGTTGTTGACGGGAAGTGTAGTTTTTTTTTTAAGTTAGTAAACAAATCCTGGTTCTGACAAATTCTTTAATAAAAATAACAAAAATCTAAAATGTTTTTATTTAGGAAGATTTATATATTTTGTTACATATTATGTATATTATTTTTAATATTGTATATTATATTGCTGCACTATAATATAGTATTTTATACTATATTATTTCACCTTGTATTGTATTTAATATAAAATACATTACTATGTTAACCTTATACTGTTTTTTACATTATATACTATAATCTATTTCTATTCACAAGTATCAATATATTCTGATGTCCGCTGTTTAAACTTACTAACTTTGCTGCTACTGATCTCATCACTATCACTCTTGTTTGATTTTGACTATAATTGCTCTTGAATAGTTTAATTTTTTACTTCTATTGTTATTTTTGCTTTATTTAACTCGTATTTCTGTCCTGCAGCAATACCTGAATTTCCCCTCAGGGGATCAATAAATGCTTATCTTCATTTACACTTACATAAAAAATTTTACATTTACAAATATACTTTTCTGAACTTATAAACTGTCATTGCAGTGTTCATGAGTTTATAATGCCCCTTTCTGGTAATTTACTGAAGCTGATATGGTGAAAAGCCATCATGTTCTGTCAAGTGAAATAACAAATAATAATGAAGATGACCAAATAGTTGAAGTCTTTCCTATACTACAAAGCTCTGGAATAAACTGGAAAAAGTCTGAATTTCTCATTTTCTACTTCTTATAATGCAGTGGGTCTCTCTTGTCAGGTAATTGGCCACACATGCCTTTAACTACTTACACCTGTGTCCAAGTAGTCAGCAAGGTGAGAGAGGGGGCCGCTTTTAAAAGAGCTCCAGTGTGGCCTTGAGTGAGATATTGTTTTCAGACAGAATCAGTTTGGCAGGTGCTGATAGAAGTGACAGAGTTTGTCACTTCAAGGGCCAACAACTGTGGCTGAAGCCATGGGATTTCTCTTAAGGTACAGTTGTTGATTTAATTTTTTATTATTTTTTTTAACTCTGTAAGATATAAAGTAACCTGAGGATGTCCTGTCTTTAGATTTCTGCTGTTGTCCTTGCTAGCAGTTGGAAGACAACAAGCAAATGGTAAGTTTGAATGAACTTGTGAAACTAAGTAACTGCTTAATGTATGCATGGAATAAAATATATATATTTACTTGACAGCTTACAGGATTGGAGCTACGAAGTATGGCGATAATGTGCCAGTTGCAGGCTATGAACCAGATTCAAGTAGCCTCAACAATGGAGACAAATCTTTATGGCGCACAGGGCCATTAGACAGTGGATCACAGGAAACAAACTACCAGTTTGTGCCAAACCTACAGCATTTGTTCAGATTCCCCCAGCATCCTTATGACCAGCCCCAGCAACCACAGCCACGGGGGCACCAGCAGCCTCAACTGCAGGGGCCCCAACTGAATAGCTATCTGCTGCCTAGCTTCCTGCCTCATCCCCAACCGCGGGTGCTCCAGCGGCCTCTGCCCCATCCACAGACTCACCTGCTGCATAGCTACCTGCCCAAGCAGCCTCAGTTGCCCCAGCTGCCCAGCTACCCGCCCAACCCGTTTCAGCCAGAGGAGCCCCAGCACCCTAGCTACCCGCCCAAGCGGCCCCAGATTCCCCAGCACCCTAGCTACCCGCCCAACCCGTTTCAGCCTCAGGTGCTCCAGCTGCCCAGCTACCCGCCCAACCCGTTTCAGCCAGAGGAGCCCCAGCACCCTAGCTACCCGCCCAAGCGGCCCCAGATTCCCCAGCACCCTAGCTACCCGCCCAACCAGTTTCAGCCTCAGGTGCTCCAGCTGCCTAGCTACCCGCCCCAGCAGCCCAGCTACCCGCCCAAGCGGCCTGAGCCCCAGGTGCCCCAGCAGCCTCAGGTGCCCCAGCTGCCCAGCTACCCGCCCAAGCGGCCTAGTTACCCGCCCAACCAGTTTCAGCCCCAGGTGCCCCGGCGGCCCAGCCACCCGCCCCAGCGGCCTGAGCCCCAGGTGCCCCAGCAGCCCCAGGTGCCCCGGCGGCCCAGCCACCCGCCCCAGCGGCCTGAGCCCCAGGTGCCCCGGCGGCCCAGCCACCCGCCCCAGCGGCCTGAGCCCCAGGTGCCCCGGCGGCCCAGCCACCCGCCTGAGCCAGAGGAGCCCCAGCGGCCCAGCCACCCGCCCCAGCGGCCTGAGCCCCAGGTGCCCCAGCTGCCCAGCCACCCGCACAAGCGGCCTAGTTACCCGCCCAACCAGTTTCAGCCTCAGGTGCTCCAGCTGCCTAGTTACCCGCCCAACCAGTTTCAGCCTCAGGTGCTCCAGCACCCTAGCTACCCGCACAAGCGGCCTAGTTACCCGCCCAACCAGTTTCAGCCCCAGGTGCCCCAGCAGCCCTGCCCCCCGCCCCAGCGGCCTGAGCCCCAGGTGCCCCAGCGGCCTGAGCCCCAGGTGCCCCAGCGGCCTGAGCCCCAGGTGCCCCAGCGGCCCAGCCACCCGCCCCAGCAGCCCCAGGTGCCCCAGCAGCCCCAGGTGCCCCAGCGGCCCAGCCACCCGCCCCAGCAGCCCCAGGTGCCCCAGCAGCCCCAGGTGCCCCAGCAGCCCCAGGTGCCCCAGCGGCCCAGCCACCCGCCCCAGCAGCCCCAGGTGCCCCAGCAGCCCCAGGTGCCCCAGCGGCCCGGCCACCCGCCCCAGCGGCCTGAGCCCCAGGTGCCCCAGCTGCCCAGCCACCCGCCCCAGCGGCCTGAGCCCCAGGTGCCCCAGCTGCCCAGCTACCTGCACAAGCGGCCTAGTTACCCGCCTAACCAGTTTCAGCCTCAGGTGCTCCAGCTGCCTAGTTACCCGCCCAACCAGTTTCAGCCTCAGGTGCCCCAGCAGCCCCACCCCCCGCCCCAGCGGCCTGAGCCCCAGGTGCCCCAGCGGCCCGGCCACCCGCCCCAGCGGCCTGAGCCCGAGGAGCCCCAGGTGCCCCAGCGGCCCGGCCACCCGCCCCAGCGGCCTGAGCCCCAGGTGCCCCAGCTGCCCAGCTACCCGCACAAGCGGCCTAGTTACCCGCCCAACCAGTTTCAGCCCCAGGTGCCCCAGCAGCCCCACCCCCCGCCCCAGCGGCCTGAGCCCCAGGTGCCCCAGCGGCCCGGCCACCCGCCCCAGCGGCCTGAGCCAGAGGAGCCCCAGCGGCCCCAGGTGCCCCAGCGGCCCAGCCACCCGCCCCAGCGGCCTGAGCCCCAGGTGCCCCAGCTGCCCAGCTACCTGCACAAGCGGCCTAGTTACCCGCCCAACCAGTTTCAGCCTCAGGTGCTCCAGCTGCCTAGTTACCCGCCCAACCAGTTTCAGCCTCAGGTGCCCCAGCTGCCCAGCTACCCGCACAAGCGGCCTAGTTACCCGCCCAACCAGTTTCAGCCCCAGGTGCCCCAGCAGCCCCACCCCCCGCCCCAGCGGCCTGAGCCCCAGGTGCCCCAGCAGCCCCAGGTGCCCCAGCGGCCCAGCCAGCGGCCCCAGCGGCCCAGCCACCCGCCCCAGCGGCCCCAGGTGCCCCAGCGGCCCGGCCACCCGCCCCAGCGGCCTGAGCCAGAGGAGCCCCAGCGGCCTGAGCCCCAGGTGCCCCAGCTGCCCAGCTACCCGCACAAGCGGCCTAGTTACCCGCCCAACCAGTTTCAGCCCCAGGTGCCCCAGCAGCCCCACCCCCCGCCCCAGCGGCCTGAGCCCCAGGTGCCCCAGCGGCCCGGCCACCCGCCCCAGCGGCCTGAGCCCGAGGAGCCCCAGGTGCCCCAGCGGCCCGGCCACCCGCCCCAGCGGCCTGAGCCAGAGGAGCCCCAGCGGCCCCAGGTGCCCCAGCGGCCTGAGCCAGAGGAGCCCCAGCTGCCCAGCCACCCGCACAAGCGGCCTAGTTACCCGCCCAACCAGTTTCAGCCTCAGGTGCTCCAGCTGCCCAGCTACCCGCCCAACCAGTTTCAGCCTCAGGTGCTCCAGCTGCCCAGCTACCCGCCCCAGCAGCCCCGCCCCCCGCCCAAGCGGCCTGAGCCCCAGGTGCCCCAGCAGCCCCGCCCCCCGCCCCAGCAGCCCAGCTACCCGCCCCAGCGGCCTGAGCCCCAGGTGCCCCAGCAGCCCAGCTACCCGCCCCAGCGGCCTGAGCCCCAGGTGCCCCAGCAGCCTCAGGTGCCCCAGCAGCCCAGCTACCTGCCCAAGCAGCTGCCTAACTCTCTGCTGTCTCAGCTGCCTAGCTATCTCCTCCATCTGCTGCCCCAGCACCCCAGCCATGTGCCCCACGAGCCAAGTTATTTGCTCCAGCTGCTGCCCCAGCAGCCCCATCCTCCTAGCTCTCTGCCCCACGTCCCCCAGCCCCAGGAGCCCAGTTACCGGTCTTTCTGGCCTCCTCAGTGGCCCAGCCACCAGCCACAGGGGGTACATGTGCCGCTGCCGCACCGCTACAAACCCCAGTATCCGCAGATCAGTTACTCACCCCTGCAGCTGGAGGTTTCTAAGCAGCCACACTACAATGGCTGGCCAACTGCGACACAAGGAGTTGCCCCTGAAAGGGATACAAATGGGTAAGATGACTATTTTCATTAAACTCAACAATCTGATGACTGAAGTTCTCAAATACTGATTTTCCTTAAATCATGTGTTTTAGGCACTACAACATGAAGATGAATCAAGGATGACCTTCAGCTGACTCATTGTATGACTTAAAATAAACCTTGATCTGTAATTACTTGACAATCTGTTTCTTTTGACCAGAACCCTGTCTATGGCATCAAGTGGGATCGGTTTATGGGGCTCAATTTATCATGCAAGAAAAATGCAACAGTAAGATATGTTAAAGTTATAGCAGCCAAATATCTAAAATTAGGTTAAAGGGACAAAACGTCTGTTAATACAAATATTTAAACACTCACTAAACTCTAAGTCAAATGTGCAAAGAGCAAGTGAAGAGAATAATTTACTGGCAGTCCAGGTATAGGCTATTAAAATTTTCAGAAATGAAGTGTTTCAGTATTCTAGTCCTGAATTGAAAAAAGCAATGTAGTTTAACGTCTGCATGCCTCGCTGTGCACTAGTGAAAGGGGTTTTCAGCTTAAACACAGAAGCTTAAGGTTGATAACTAGATTGCTGTGGCCGCTGTCAACTCACTTTAAAGTAACGTTGATGCTGTAACAGGCTCTTGCACACAAGGTTGGGGGGGGGGGGGGATTTCTCTTTATCATTTGTAGATGTAATTAAGACACTGGACAGCCACTAGCAGAGTCTGAGGTTCAATTTGGAAGAAACGGTTGCTTGCATAGCAAGTGCTTATTTTACCTCTTACTCCAGTAGCGGGGGAAAATGCCTCTTTAAAAGATACACTTGACTAAACACACTGATTTGTCAACTGTTTTCCTTTAATACAATTACCCTAAGCCTGGCAATCTTCAGCATACAAAAAATCAACCTTTTTTTTTGGTCTGGAAAGAGATATTGGGGGGGGGGGGGGTGTCTTACCCCCAACTACCCTACTAATCATGGCAGCCCACTGACCTTGAGAAACTTTTTTTTTTTGAATATAACAAGACAGGACTTGTTGGGACAAAGGCATCGGGTAGTGATCTTAATGGCACTATCTGCTTATACTCTTACCCAGTGTTTATGGTTTTGCAGTGCCATAATTAGTATAATGGAAAATGTTCTGCTGTAAATGATTACTTTCTTTAAATTTAGAAACTGCTTTATTTTGACAAGTTAGTTTTTACATACAAGGAATTTGTGTTGGTGACTCGAGCAGCAATAGACATAAACCTATATAAAAATGAGAATCAAGATGCTATAAAATATGTGCAGAATGTGTTCAATAATAAAACTGATTTAAGAGACTATAAATCCTGTTTTTAGTGTGCTTTACATAAAATAAAAAATCATTTTCCGGTATGTATGTCAAAGCTATTTAGGGCTTTTTCCACATCGAGAAGTTTGTTGTTCATTTTGAGTGTACTCAGTGTACTTTACTCATATCACCAGTGCTTGAAGTGGGGGCGGGGGGGGGGGAATATCGCTCTATCCTTAACCACAAATGAAACTAAATATTATAACATTAAGGACTTTGCGCATTAAACACTTAATTTCCTGCATTCTAGAAACATTTTCTGCACCAAGTTATGGAGGAAATGTCTTTATTTACATGAAGGGAAACTAAATTAAGGTGACAGATGACAATTCAAAATATAATGGAATATATGGCATCAGCTTTTGGACAATGCACATTTGTTTCTTCTATATTTCAATTGCATTGCATGTTTTCTTGCATTGTTTCAGTTGTTATTTAACATTTCTAGTTGCAATCTGTTTAATATTTTTAACAAAAGCTTTCAAAAAGTGACTGAGATTCTGATTCTGACATGTCCCCAGTGTCAGTGTAAACGACACCCATCTCATCTTTTAAACGTCCCGCCCCATCCAGGCTTTGATTGATAAACCCTCTGTAAATATCTTGCTATAAGACATAAGAAACTGTGTAAAATGATTATACTCTAACTGGAAACATGTACTTCTGAGAAAACCGCTGTTAATGATTAGTTAGCATAAACAACTGTTTGTCATATGAACACATCTCTCATATGATTTAATGTGGACAGTTTTAAAAAGACCAGTTGAACTTTTACAGGAAAATGCTAACAAAGATCTGCAATCTGCGGGTCATGGACTTAATCAAGGGCGTCACTTTGTGTTAAGAAGTGGTGGGGACATAAGGGCTCAGATTAGTGGTGTGATGATGCTCTTGGGTCACGAGGCGTGACGATGCACGAGAACAAGATGAGAAGATTTTATCCTGAAGAAATTTGAAATGCTGAAATTTGACATTCTGCTCCAATTTATGGTGTAAATGTCTTTATTTATAAATAAAGGGAAACAAAAAATTCAGCTGTCAGGTGGTAATTAATATAATATAACAGAATATAATGCAGTAATGAGCAACTTGTTGTTTTTAGCTTAAGTTACTTTTTTTGGACAACAAACATTTGTTTCTTAAACATTTAAATTGCATTGCATTTTTCTTATAGTGTAAATAAACCTTTTACAAAGCAACATTTCTTAGTGCAAGCTATTTCTTAGAATATTTTGAACAAATGCTTTCAAAAAGTGGACAAAATCAGCCATTTCAAAATGTGGCCTGTGTATAAAATAGACAAATAATAATGATTATATATTTTATTCAAGATTCTTTTGTATATTTTATGAAAGTATGGTAATAATAGTTGCTAAATAACTTAACTGAAACCTGGACATTGACAGATTGAAGCAATGTCATCATTTTGGCCTGAGGTGGCGACATCCTCTCCACTAGAGGCAGCACTGCTGTGTGAAGGCAGCGGCTGAAAAAAATGATTGGCACCTCATTGCTCCAATCGGATTACACAAAGGCGACGTATCGGCCAATCATATAATTACATTTAACTCTTCTGGGCGGGACCAGAAGTAGCCGTTCGTTCAGACGCTTACCGTGAGCTGTCAGGCTAGCTCCTTGCATCTCTCTTGTACCTTTTCAGAAACCTAGATGAATCGATATATCTAAAAATCGGAAAATACGCTGTTAATCTGTTTGTTGAGGCTACGCTTAAGTTACTTTTATATTCTGGTAAGACTTCATTCAGCTCTGCTTGGTTTGCTAGTATGCTAATGCTAATTCACATTGCAGCAGCCGTTTAGCTTGTCAGTTGAGCTGTTGAGCAACAATAGTAAACGATTTAATCCTGATTTCTCTGTTAAAATGTTCAGCTAAGCGAGGTGGCTGCTGGCCCTTATGTTCGGGAACACCGTCGTGGTCGTTCACAGGTGTTTAAGTACAGTTATCCTCCGCTGGGGGGGTCTTTTAACCAGTTTTCAGTGGCTTTGTGTGTCCTGTTCTCAGTAGCCATCATGGGCGAGGTGGAGCTGTCCTGTCGGGCTTATGTGAAGATGTACCTGCACTCCTGCCTGTTTCCGCGGTGCAGCATCAACGGGCTGCTGTTGTCGTCCTCTTCTGCAGGTGACCCCGTGTGTGTGACAGACTGTGTGCCGCTTCTGCACTCACACCTGTCCCTGGCCCCCATCACCCAGCTGGCCCTCACACAGGTAGGACACCTGCTTGACAGAGGTGTCACACTCTTCTAGGCGTATTACTGCCCTCCCCAATAAACCCCTTAACAATCTTGTTATTGCCTTCAAATTCTCATATATAACCCTGTATCCTGTAAGAACTGTAATACTACTTTAAAGGTTCGGTGTGTAAGTTTTAGTGGCATCTAGTGGTGAGGATTGTGAACTGCAACCAGCAACTCACGGTGTATTCACGTGCTCCTCGGATGGTCCCGCTTCCCGAGTTGTGAAGTCATTCTTCTGACTTTGTCTGTGATCATGTGCGCTTAAGTCAGAATGTGGAATCAACACGAACGCTTCTACAAAGATGTGTTGGATTAGCATTATCAGAGCGTATAAACAACACGCAGACATCTAGTTCACTCTACATGGACAGCAAACTAACCGTTATAACCTTATTGCAAATTACATGCATTGCAAAATATGTATATTCAATACGTGATTTTTGCACAAATCAAAGTTCTGTGTACTTCTTGATGTCCCATGAACACTTTATTTCCTTTACTGTAGAAACATGGCGGCACAACAAGGCGACGTCCATGTGATTGGACCCGCGCTATGTAGATATTGTAAAGATTGTGCATTCATGTGGTGTCGGGATAATTGGAGAAATGATATCCCGACCTCTGAAGTCGGAACAACAACTTGTACAGTTGGAGAAAATTTTGCTACCCGAGTTGCCAAATTATTTAACGTCATACACGTAGAGACATGGCGTACAACATGGTTGATGGTTAGAAACATTTAAATAATGGTGGAAAATCACATATTGCATATAAATATTTGCTAAGGAGTCATTTGTAATATGGTAATAGGTTAGTTTCTGTCCATGTAGAGTGAAGTAGATTACTTTAATTAAGTTAATTAGTAGTATTTGCAGTAAAAGCAATATTTTAGTGGTTTCAGGTAATGTACTGGTTCAGTAACAACTCTGAGACAAAAAATTCTAATATTGTAATAGAAAGCTTCAAACTGTTTCAGCATAGATGGATGACGATGATAATGCTAATCCAACACATCTTTATAGCAGCCTCTATGTTATTTCCACATTCTGACTTAAAGCGCATGAACACACCAAAGTCGGAAGAACGACTTCCCAACTCGGGAAATGGGATCATCTGAAGAGCACATGAATGCAGCAATGGCTCACTCTAAAGTAATAAAAACATGACTGTTCATTATGTAAGGTCTTTATGCCCCCACTCAAAACATATTTATGTGTATTATATTGCATCTCTGTCAATAGATCATCCTAAATATTACACACTGGTGCTTTAAGAATCAATTAGTGGTTCTCCTTTTGACCCAGTATAGATTTAACTGAACTCCCGAATCTGTTAATCACTTATATAAAACGCTCCTTTCTTTATTATCTTTGTTACATTTCAGAGTTCCCACACTCACAAAGCTTATTAGGATGCTTTCATATAATATATAAGGACTTTATCAGCCCACAATGCCCAAGCCTCAACCTAGAGGACCCATAACATCAGAGCAAATTAAGGCATCACCTTTTTTCACGTACCTCTCATGTATTTCCATCAAATTTGAGTCACAGAGCTGTTTTTCTAAAAAAATAAAACCCCTTTTGAGGTACAACTGCTTTGAAGGTATCTCCAGACTCCTGAAAGACTCCTCTGGATAAAGACTCCTCTGGATAAAGACTCCTCTGGATAAAGATTTTAGCTGCTTTCCCAGGTTGCGACTCCTATTTCCCATCCAGGTATTCCCCAGGAAAAAAAGTTGGGTTGAATCGTTGCAGCTGTAATGTCCACATACTTTGTGTCCTGTAGTTTAGACAACATTTGAACAATGGGGGAAAAATCAGTGATAAAGGAATTTGGGAGAAAGATTTAGTCCCAACAAGGAGTCTTTTTTTATTATTATTTTTTTTCTCATCCTTTTTTGATATTGGAAATCAACCTCTAATATTAAACATTTCCCAAAACACGGTACAGTTATAAGCATCATATAAACAACGTTTTGCGACAGGTTCATGTTCTTCAGACAGTAGAGCAGTTTACAGCTGAATGTACTGTAAACCGTATGAACATCAGGAGCTACCAGTACAGACATGAGAAAGAAACACAAGAGGGTGGCTATAAAGATGGAAATAGTGACTTCACTCAATGAAGGAAATACTCCTTAAAAAAAAATAACAAAAAGCTCAGGAAGCTGACAAATATCATCCTAAACTGAGACAGTAGTTTGCTAATATTTTAGATGGCTTGCAAACAAGAAAAAAATGACACGAGCTTTGTGCCAGCTGCAGAGGAAGCTTTCTATGGGATGATTTGTCTCCGGTTATCAGAAGAAGCTCTTTCCAGTTTTGCATTTGAGAAAATTTGTCCGTTCTCTTGTTTCAGGTGGATGTGTGGTGTTCACAGACTCAGCAGAGGATAGTAGGATATTATCAAGCCAACGCCTGCGTATCAGATAGCAGGTGAGTTTCCTGGTTAAGATATTTTCTAAAATGTTACAGTCCGGTTGACAAAATGTTTCTAACATTGAATCTGTTTCCATGTTTTGAATTTGACAGCCCGACGCCGTGTGCACTGAAGATAGCTGATAAGATCGCTGAGCAGTTTGATAATGCAGTTATATTAATGGTAAGGATAACTAAAGCATCACCCCCCCCCCATACCTGCTCACTCGTAGAGGTGAAACAATATGCTGATCAGTCAGTTTAGTAACTGTAAGATCGCTCGAAACTGAACACCTTATTGGGTTTTGTTTTAAGAAACCCTAAAAAGCCATATTATTTATGCTGCGTGTTTATTAAATATGCGTTTCTCGGGTTTGCTTCACAGCTTGATGGCAGTAAGATGTCTCCAGATGTTCGGGTTCCTCCCATCGTGATGTACGAGCGCAAAGATTCAAGATGGATGCTCAAAGACAAACACACGTGAGTGACGGGCTCTTCCCAGTGTCTATAGCATGTTGTCTTTGGAGCCCTGATGGTTTTTACGGTGAAAGCACATTATTAATAGAGCTGGGCGGAAGATAGCGAAGCTCGTTTCACTCCTGTGTATCACAGTTTCATTACATCGTGTTGGAGCTTGTGTCAAATGAAGAATACCACATGATGTTGCTTCAGAGAGCGCTACACCCATGAAGTAACTTATATGTCTAAGCCTTCAGGCCAACGCATAACTTTACTGTAATATATACTGCACAACATCGTCTACATTTACTACATGTAATAACTTTTATTTGCTCACACATAGACCAGATCTATTAAAATGAGTGAGGTGCTGAGTCTGCTGTCACGACGGGCTGCTGTAAGATTTACTAACCACCAGATGTCACTGTGCTCGCAGCGTTTGAAGCCCGGGAGGCTTCACCTGCCCGTTTTCTGTTTTTATGTGTGTTTATTCATTAAAAAATAAATTAATTGTGGTTATGAAGCAGTAGGAGATGAAGAGTATAAAATCCCCAAGACATTATCTTTAAATTCATTACATTATTAATTTTGTACAGGTAAGATTGATTTAAACTGGAGGTGTTCAAAGTGGCAGGCAGTCTTTTCCAATAACAGAATAAATGAATCAAATGACGTTAACGCTCACCTGTTGTTGTCCCCCCCCCGCCCCCCGCTCCCCGCTCTGTTCAGGATAATGCTGAGGCAGTGGGAGGAGACTCAGGCGATAGCCAGTCAGATGCTGGAGTCGGGCGATCACGCGCTATTGGTGGATTTTGACAGCCACTTGGACGACATCACAAAGGACTGGACCAATCAGAAACTTAACACCAAGATAGCAGAGCTCGCCTCGCCGGCCAACGGGAGCATGTAGGCTGAGAAGTGGCGTCAGTTTGTACCAGGAGCCCAGATTTATTTATGTTGTCACCCGACGTCATAAGATGTGACTTTTATAACCCGACACAACCACGTGGGAGTTTAGGAATATGTTTATTTTTAATGCTTTTTCTTGACTGAACAGACATTAACAACACAACATGCATAAATAACAATATTTACAGCTTAGTAGATCAAATGCCACCTTTTAAAACACAGTTAACACTTACTATGCATCTGTGATAATTCTGGTCCCATTTCTGTCACTTGTTGCTGTATCATTATTATTCCTATGTACATTACATGGTCCACAGGGTGGACAAAATAACAAACACCATACAACACAGACTTGCAGTAAATACTAATTTGTTGAAGTTCAAAGTTCGATTTTTTATCAGACTGTCAGGTGTAGTGAAAGGTCTGTAGTCTGTGTCATGCTAGAAACCAGAAAAGAGTAAACAAACGTAATAATTTAGCATTTATAAGCAGCATTTAAACATTTATTAAATGGTTTATAGCACACTATAATGAAGTTATAAGTGTTTATTAGTGTATCTATCTGTCAACAACTAACTCCTCCTGTCTGGAGGAGATATACTAAAATATAGTAAAATACAGTTGTAATAATGTAAGTTATGTCTTAAGAGTTCTACTTTCTAACAATTACTGTACAATGTCCTTAAATCTGCTTAGAACTACATTATAGTTATAAACCATTTATTAAGTGTATATAGTGTTTATTAATGCTAAATAGTTTGACAGCATATAGATGATAAATATTCAGGCAGCCACTTTGTATCTCTGTGTTGTGCCTCAGTTTAAAGCTGAAACACATACTGCTTCTTCGTACTAGCATGAAATGCTTGTAGCTGCTTTTTGTAATTTACAGTACTGCGGTTCCTGCATGAATTGCAGGTGCATCTGTCTGGCAGCCTCTTCCTCAACAAGAGGAACTTCCTTGTCAACCTTTGGTAAAAACATTTAACCACTTTGAGAAAGAGGAACAGTGTTGCACATACAAGCACCTAGAGGGATATTTGCCAAACTACCCCTTTTAATAATGACCATCAAGTTGTATAAACACCAAACAGCCTCAATAAAAAACAAATACTCTGAGCTTCAGCAGACTCTACTGCAACACTTTTGTACTGAAACAAAAGATGTTTTGTACTTTGTTTGCCCCTAACACACCCAAAACAATTTTAAAAATGTCGGAATTTGATGTAACTCTTGAAACACTAATCCCAAGTCTACACCTTATTAAAGTATCAATATAAACAGGATTCTCTTGTAAATGAGATCAGTTTCTAACATGATGTACTTAAGATGGAGGATTTGTAACAGTGGAGGAGTATAGAAGGTTAATTTGACTTTAACAGTGCACTGCTACAAGACTGAGACTTTTTATCTATGAAAAGACGATCACTGCACATTTGTAAATGTATCTGTGTTCTAACGCGACTACCTAGCAGGCATTAAAAAACAAAAGTTACGTACATCTTTGCGCACTACGGCTACTCTACTGAACTATTTGGGGGGCAGCTTCAAGGACAAGGTTTATATAGCGCTGTAGTACAAACATAATGGTCATCAGATGCTAAGAGCAGTGGTTCCCAACCATTTTAACTTACGACCCCGCAAAACAAAGTCAGTATTTGTGGCCCGTTTTTTGGCTGCATGTGTAGAAACTGTGACCAGATCAACCAAAAGGGGATTTTCCTTCATTTGAATACTTGAAATGATCCAATAATTCACAACCCCCCCCCCCCCCCCAAAAAAACCTGTGACCCTTTGTGGGGGCTCAACCCACATGTTGGGAACCACTGGCTTAGAAGAAAAAACGCTCACATTTCCAGATCCCCCGAGAAAGAAAGACGTCAAGAGCCGCAACCAACGATTACTTTCAGAATCAGTTAATAGTTGAATCTATGAAATGTTTTAAATGGTGAAAAACAGATGTTATTTCTTAAATTTCTTTTCCTGATTAACCTTCAGAAACCCCTTAAGATATGAACTGTCATGTATTACAAAGAAAAATCATCGCACTTGCAGAGCAGAGAACGAACGTTTGATTAATCCTGCCGATCGACTGAAGCGCTGCAGCTCCGACGTCTTCTCAGTGTTGGTTTACATGTAGTGCTTCCAGTACACCAGCTAACCTCTAGGAGGACACGAGGGGCCAAAGTCCATCCCAGAAAGGGCAAAGATAAAATCCCTTACTTAAGTTTAATCTCTAGTCATAGAAGTCACATCCAAGAAGTAGGTTCTTTGTGACTTGGGCTACCTGTTGAGGGCTGAGCGATGTGAGAAACTAGACTAAGAGGCTCTTGATTATCGACAATGAATTAATTAAACTCTCTTTGCATGGATGCATTTACAGATGAGAGATAAACACACCGCTCAGCCCTTTGTACTCTTATTTTGTAAGTGGGGATGTGTCTTATTTTAGAAGTGCTCAGGCGGACCCACAGAGGATGGTCTCGGACGAGGGCACGGTGACCAGGTTTAGAGTTATTTCTCCCAGTGGAGACTGACTAGCCAGAGACTGGAGGATGGTGATGGACTCGAAGATGGACTGAGTGTTGTGGACCTGCTGCTCTGCCCACGGTAAAGTGATCTGCAGAGAGAAGAGTAATGTTGTGGGGGGGTTTTTTTATGTGAAAACATTCTTACCTTCTCACAAGTTTTGCATAAAAGTTTATTTTCTGTTTCTTTAATCCCAAATCATCACTTATTAACTGAGAGCAACACATAACAAAATATTTTGTATTCAGTTTGTAATGCACACACATTAGTTCTTCTTCCAACTGAGGTTTGAGATACAATTGTTTTGCTTGCCATGCAAAAGGTTTTGAGAAAATAAAGTATTGCGATCAATTTTCTGTTAAAACAAAGAGAAAAGTCACTGCAGGGCAAAAGGCCTATTATTTTTTTTTAACACAGCGGTGGAAGAAGTATTCAGATCCTTTACGTAAATAGAAGTACTAATACCACACTGTGAAAATACACTACACTGATACCACTACAAGTACACGTCCTGCATTTAAAAGCTTACTTAAGTAGAAGTATTATCAGGCAAATTCAATTAAAATATCAAAAGTTACATTCTGGTGCAATAAAATGTTCCCTGTCAGTGTTTCAGTATTATATCTGAAGTTTCTGGATTATTACGGCTGCATTAATGTGTATGTTACATTTTACAGTAGTAAATACAGTACTTGTAAATTTTCCACTGCAATGAAATTATATTATCTTCTTAGTTATTCTGAGATAATAGAAAAAGTAAAATTATCCAAACATTGTGTTTAACAGTTCCCAATCAGGGATTTTAAAAGGAGCTTTATTCTAGTGTTCATATCAGTTATGAGTACATGAGGTAATGGTTAAATATTTGTCAGTAAACTGGCAACCAACCTAAAATGAGGTCATGCAGGTGGCAGCATATTCACCTGAACAATAATGAGTTTTGTGGACGGGTCTTCAGTGTCGCTCAGCTCTTCTCCGAAACAGAGAGTGAAGCCGCACGGAGGCGGCACGCCGCCGTTTGAACGGAAGTCTTCCAGTTCTGATGATGAGGGAAAGAAGAGTGAGTCACATAATAAACTGTACTTTAATTTGACTCTACTGAGATTAGATCGGATGTAGTTTTTGGCTCAAGGCCACAACAAAACTGAAACAGATTCACTGTTTTGAGGTTGGACTCAGAAAACAGTGAAAAAGTTATTGCCCAGAATCCAACAGTCCAAAACCCAAAATATATTCAGTTTGTGATGATAACAACAAAAACACAACTGCAGCTGGAAACACAGGACGTTGGACTTTGTTTGCTTGAAGAATTACTGCGATGATGAATCACTTACCAAAATCATTGCCAACAAATCGTTTCAGTTTATAATTTAATTCAAACTGCCTCTTTATCGCAAATTTATGAAAGAATAAGGTGCGTTTCTAAACACGCAACCAAATTAAATTAATCAAACAACCTGGTTTTGGGTTGCAGTAACAACAGAGCCTGATGTGCATCTTACACAAAAACCTTGACTGTTCAAAGTGTGCAGGTAGCAGCAGATACATAATCACTGAAGGATCATTCAGATCATTAAACTAATCGAACCACGTTAAGACTAAATCTCACTCAGCTAGTCACATGGATTATGCGTGTTGAGGCTCAGCGTCTCAGTTGGATGTGGAGATCGGCCGTGTTCGTGCGACTCACGTTGCTTGAAAGTGTCTTTACTGAAGAGCATCACCGGCTCCGTGTTTCTCTCCATCTTGTGCAGCTCCGGCGTGGTCGTGTGCGGCCCCGTCCAGAAGACCCGCCCCTGGCAGAACCGTTTGCCGTAAACTCCTTGCGGCGTGGAGGTCAGCACCACCCCTTTCTCCATGAAGGGCAGCAGGGTGAACAGGGCCTGCAGCTCTGGGCCGGCCGGCAGCGTGGAGGGTGGCTGCGGCAACGGGATGCGCGGGAACCTGCCTTTCAGGTCGGCCGACGTCGGCGGAGTGAGAGAGGAAGGCTGGTACGTTATCCTGACATCAGTGCCCTGGATGTGACGTTTGTGGACCTCCTGTCCTAAATAATGAACCGCCACGCTGAAAGAATCCTGGACTGGAGGGACAGAAACAGAGAGGAGGGAGGATTAAAGCATCAACTTAAAACCTTTAAAACATTTAAAATAACTTACAGATCAAAATGTAATTAACTGTTAAACTATAGTAGTTAACTAAAACTAAACGGACTAATTGTTGTAAGAGCAAGTGGGGAAAGTGTTTAGCATTTCTGAGGCACTGCTCTCTAGTATAGTTGCACGTAAACAACCTGCTCAGCTGTACATGTGTTCACTGAGGTCACTTTATTACCTTCTGCCGGAGCAGAGACGCTCTCCTCGATCCGAACGTCCAACTGGATCTCATCGACCACTGCAGAGAGAGAGAGAGGGGAGAATAAAAAGCGATAGATCAGCTGGTTGTTTTGAAATACAGTCAGTAACCTCAAACCCAAAGTTTGTTTTGTTGGCAGAGACTGGACGTAATCACTGACATGATATTATGTCATGTTTGCCCGCACTGTCGTAACCTTGTTAGTGCAAAGCCTGGCTCGCATGCAGCAGCTCAGTGATTAGATTTATCACTTTATTTTGGAAGCAAAACTTATTTTAACTGTCGTGGTGACGCAATAAGCATTCCTAATTTGTCGAAGGGCTGATGGCGCTTCAGACTTCGGATGAAATTACTTTGAACAAGAGGAAGCACTGTTTCATATCATGATCTCTGCTGCTGTCTTGTCTGCTCACATGTAAAAAGCTGACTAGAAACCAGATGGCCTGTATTCTGGCGGTCTCTCCAGGAGAAATCAGGTCTCTGTAAACACATCTGAAATCAACATGTGTAGAACCAAACAGCTCCCCCTTTGTAAGAAGGAAAGTTTGACAATCTCTGCATGTTAGCTTCGCAGCAGGAACTGTAGCACTGACAGTCTGCTAACCCACAACTTAGCTAACTTTAGTTACATTACTTGCTGTGTCGTTTGCTCTGTATCGTGGTATTTGTCCTGTTCTTTGATTTCTGCAGAATCACTTATTGCACCTTTTAAACTGAAAGAAAAATTCCCTCCAACTTTTAATCTCTGGATTACAAAATCTTAAGCAAAAATCCAGTAATTTATCCCGTACAGAAATCTCTTTAAGTCAGGAAGTTCATATTTAGATTAACATCTCAGAGAGCAGTCAGGTACTCAAGGTAAATGCAGTTCCACTCACCGTCTGCCTGCAGGGTGGTGGTGAACTGAGCGGGCTCTTCCATCTGGAAGGAGATGTCACTCAGCAGCTGAGTCTCGCCAACACACTGAGAAACAGAAAGTTTGCAGCTGAAGAGACTGAGATGGATAGATATCTGACTTAAAAATGTTTTTAAAGTAAAGAAACAAAGGTGTTTTAGCCTCGATAGCAGCGTGGGCTTTGTGGCTGAGACAAGTCAGGTAGTTTTACAGCACGTATGTATTGTGTCGCCACCATGTTCCTTACAGGATGACTCCCAGTGACTTAGATGATCATCTGACTTTTCATCTAGCGACCCCGTCAAGTTATACTTTTCATATCAGTAGATATAAATAATTATCAGGATAAATGTCAAATCATTATTTGATTGCTGAATTATATTGAACATTTGTCATATTATATATTTTTTAATCATATCGCAGTAATTATTGTTGTTGTTTTATCGCTCAGGGACAAATAGCCCAAGTTTAGTCAGCCTCGTCTCCTTTTCTTGAGATTAACGCTAACAT